AATAGTATACAAAATTTGCAAGCATAGACTCTAACACAGTCAAACCCCAGTTACTATGATGCTTTTGGGTGACTGAGTTGTACACCATCCTGTGTGGTGCCGAGTTTCCAAGGTAGTACCCATATCTGCAGTATCTTGTGTTGCTTCTTCCCTGTACTCAGGTTTGGCTGTGTTCCAAAGAATGGAACATGCGGAAGTGAAGAAGTGATCAGATATCACTTTGGAGATTGCTTTGTTGCAGTCACTGCAGCTTCTTTCAGCCATAAAGAGAAAAACAGAGTCCGCATAGCAGTGGACTGATTCACCAGCAATAAACTGCTAATACGGAGACACCTTATTGCTACCTTGAAGTTCAGAGTACTTAGAAAGAACCTTTGATACTGAAAACAAAGACATTTCAAAACAAATTTCCAAAAATATTACCTGTCGGAAGCTGTCTTTGTAGGGCTGCAATCGGATCCAGCCCGGCAGCCCCAAGTTGGTACCTGAGTGGGGGTGTGTGGATGAGGGGAAGGCTAGTTATAGATGATAAAGACAGAGACACAGAATAAAATCAGGTGGGCAAGTTCAGTTAATACTGAAATGCCACAAGTTTATTTTTCACTACTCTTACATACCATAACTGAAAGGGGCAACACAGTATCATGTATATGAAACAAACAGACTTTTCTTCCTCATTTATTCTAAGTAACCACACCTTAACTTCATCTTCTTGTTCCCTAGCCTTGAGGGTCAGGAGTAGCTACACCTTACCAGGTCTGTTATTATTTATAATAAGATAGCCAAACACCCTACTGTAGCCACACCTTTGACCTTTAGGTCTTCTGACTTGCTGAGGACAGTTTTGAACTCTCTGCCCTTGAGCCAAGATGGAGGGCAGCCATCTTTATGGGCACTGACGATCACCAACAGAGAAACTCTGAGTACTGTGGCTATAAAGAAGATCCTGACGTGTTTGCAACCTAGTGCCTTGAAGACAGTAGAGTGGCGTTGGGGGAGGCGGGCCCTGAGATTCTCTGGTCAGCTAGTCTAGCCTATTCCATGCCCTAGAGTAAGAGAGCCTGTCTAAAATAAGATAGACTGCTCCTGAGAAACAGCAGTTGAGATGGGACTCTGGCCTCTATATGTACATACAACATTGCTCATTTTAAATCAGTCTCAACTCCACTTAAAAAAAAATGAGAAATGACACAATTTGTTTTGAAAAGAGAAAGCTCACTATAGAGCTTATTAAATCTAAGAGCTAACAGAGGACTCTGTGCTAGAGAGATGGCTCGGTGGCTAAGAGTGCTTGCTGCTCTTGCAGAGGACTAGAGTTCAATCCTCAGCCCTCACCTCAGGTGGCTCACATTCATGTGTGAACCCAGCTCCAAAGCCTTCTGAGGGCATCCACAGAACTGTGTGCACATGCTTGAACACACACACACACAAATTTTTAAAAGTTAAAAAGAAAAAAAGAATGGAGAGCCTAAAAGAATAAGGACAAGCAAAAGTAAGGAGGAGCCACCACCATTTGGCCTGAGTAGAATCCCAGGATGAGATCCTGGCCTTGCTGGAGAGTGGGCACCGGTAATGTGCAAGTGAGGCTTGCTAGTCATTGGAAGAGTCCCTGAGATTTTGTGGAACTTGCTAGACATCTGGTCTCTCTCTCTCTCTCTCTCTCTCTCTCTCTCTCTCTCTCTCTCTCTCTGTGTGTGTGTGTGTGTGTGTGTGTGTGTGTGTGCGCGCGCGCGTGTTGGGGGTTTGGACACAGGCAGTGGTCTATTAAGACAAGCAGTAAGGCCTGCTTGAATCATTGTCAGCTGCAAGTTGCTTCTTTCCAAGTATGTTTACCAGTCTACTCAGGCAGCCCTCTAAGTTTCAATATTTGTAATTGATAAAATGTTTAAAATTCTCTGAAGCATATACTCTCTTATGGTGGTCAGAGGAGTCAAGGAGCCAACGTGTGGACAATCCTTTGAACAGAGTCTACTCTACATTAAACACCATAGAAAGGCTGCTATTGTGGCCTCTACAAACAACAGCCACTCGTGTTCACCCTACACTTGGGAAGTGTGGTTGCAGGAAAAACCTAGTGACTATGTCAAAGTATGCCTGACTTTTAAATACTAGACGACTTCTCAGGCTGGCGGTTTTTATAGAGATTTTTATAGAGATCTTGCAGATTCATTAGATTAGTCATCTCGGAGTATTAGGCAAAACACCAAGCACTGGGTGGTGTAAACACCGGGAGTTTAAACTGTCATAGCCCTGGAGGCTGGGAACTCCAGGGTTAAAGTCTGACCTGGTTAATGTTTTGGTGACTGACTATCTGCTTCCAGTGTCTTTACTGGGAGCTCATAGGACACAGAGATGGGGTGGAGTGAAAGGGAGAGGGGAAGAGGGAAGGGTTGAGTGAATTCTGGATCCTCCTCTTTCTCAGACACTAACACTGTTGGGGGGGGGTCACTCTTGTACCTTACCCAAACCTAACTGTATTCAGCAAGTTCCAACTCCAAATACCACCATGTGGAAGGTTAAGGCTCCAACATAAACTTCAGGGATACAAACATTCAGTTCATATCATCCTCTAACCCTGTATCTGAACACACATTTCCCTAGTTTCTAATTCTATTTTATCAAATTTTTGAAAATTTGCAATTTTGAATATTTACAGTTTTTGGACATTTACAAAACCTGCCTCACAGTTTTGATTTTTTTTAAATCTTATTCTAATTTTATTTGTATAAATCCATTTGTAGTCTTTGCAATTTTTTTCCTTTATCTGAATATCTACAGGACTATTACTGTATATTCACTACTCATCCCTGGAATCCTTTATTTAAGAAGTCAGTTCTTTGTCATATGTTAGAGTATTCTCTTACATTTTTCTTTTGAGAATTTTAAGCTGAAAAGATATTTTTCATTTTTACTTGGTAGGGTGTATTAGTAGTCTTTAAATCATATGTTGTGATTATCTATAGTATAGGCAGAGATTAGTTTTAATCCTACAAGAATTCACTTTTGTTATTAATATACCTCCCCCATTTCCCCCTTCTTTTCCATCCCTCCTTCCTTCCAGCTGGGAATTAAGCCAGGGCCTTGCACATGCTAAGCAAATGTTCTACTGTTATGCTACATCCCAGCTCTTGTTTGATGTAGTTAAGGCTCAGTCTGGCTTCCAGCTCATAATCTTCCTGCTTCGACATCCCAGGCACTGGATTATGGGCATTCACCACAGCACCTGGCTGCTTCTCAGCTCACCTAACTCTGGTTCCCCACAGTTACACTGCTTCTTATGAGACTGATTTGAAGGTCTCCCTGGGTTACTGGGGCAGGAGTTCAGCCTTGTTAATGCATTGTAAAGCATTGTTCAATTGCTGTTAATGTTAACAATACGTTTTATTATAAGCACTTCTTGCAATATTAATTTTTCTTTCAAATAAGCTAAGGCATGGAGGGCAGGGCCACTTGACTTCCTAACAAACAGTTTTTAGGTTTTTCTGTGGTACCCTGGTTGCCTTGGTAGAAGGACAATCTGCCCGATAGCCAGCAACCCTCCCTTTATGCCAGCCCTACTGCTTTCAACACCCCAAAGACCACTTGAGAAAGAAAGTAACGTGGCAACCACAGCTGCCAGCTGCTCAAACATAAGCCTAACACTTCCCTAGACTGTTTCAGAAGCCTTTCACTCGCCAGAGCGGGAGCGCTGCCCACTGCCCATGACCACAGAAAAAAATCTATGGTCGGTTCCTACAATCCTTTGCTTGCATAAGCCCCTTCCAAGGATGCAAGTGTGGTTCATTTGGAGGAAGCATCCATCCTTTGGAGGATGGGGCAGACTCCCTTGCTGTACCTTGTTGTGTCTACATTAGCAGGTTACATTAGCAGGCTGTGTGGTTCACTCGCAGCTCGGATGTGGCAACATGAGGCCCCCCGCCCAAGGAAGAACTTCTCTCAAGTGATCTATTCTTACCTGTTTGACTTTTACCATTTCAGGGCAGGGTGAGCTGGTAACAGGAAGAAAGGGGGAGATGACAAGAGGGTGTGAGGATGACAGCTGCAGCTGTGGAACAGTAGCACCGGTTACAGTAGAGACGGCATAGGCAGCAAGTGGTGGAAGGGTAGAGATGATGAGAGCTGCGATGAGCTGAAGACAAGAAAAAGAGGTCATTGAAAGAACCTCAGAGAGCCACCAAAGGGTTTCAGATACCATAGGTCCATTAGCCGTATAGCAGTCTCTGTCAGTGGCTCAGTTCCTGAATGATATAGCACCATCACTGTAGGACCTGGGGGCCCAGTGCCTGGGGTCTGTAGACAGCTGCAACAGCAGAAGGTGCTGCTGGCTGTGTTGTGCCCACCGCTGCTGGAAGCTGGGGAGGGCAGTAGCTGCCAAGTACTAAAACCACTAAATTAATCCAGGAGCAGTAAGCCTCTAGCCTGAGAGCCATAAGTACCTGGCTATGATAAAGGCAGTAGGTCAATAGCTGTGCTCTGTATAAAACTGGTTCCGTTAAAAATGGATATGGTAGAAATAATGGCCACATAGGAGACAAGATGTAACCCCATCTTTGAAGGCTATAATACCTCTGAGACCATGGCAGGTGAGCTGGTCAGAGGGGTGACATGATAGCTTGGCGGGGAAAGATATATCACTGTGTTGACAACTTGAATTCTGTCCTTGGGATCAGCATGCTGGAAAGGACGGACGCACTCTTGAAAGTTGTCCTTTGACCTCCACGACCGCACATGTACCCACACAGACTTCAACACATCAATAAATAAACATACAAATGTAAATTTCACAATGACTCAGGCAGAGTATCAGGATCCTTTGGGTATCAAGGAAGATATATGTGACTCCAGATGAAATCCAAGTATGAGGAAGATTCAATGAACTTGATCTGTTTATCAATTAAGTAATAAAAACAAAGTTAAACATTAAATGGCCGAGCCAATAAAGTCCTCCAGTTGCTAAGATAAGGGCTAAAGGTTCTGAGTAATCATTTACTCCTAAGGGTTAGACAACTGCAGAAAGCCGAGAAACTGATAATGACCGGAACCAGAGCCATGCACTCTACCTTCCTCAGGTTTGCTTTCAAGTCCTTGCTGTTTTTGCTGGTGTGGGAATGGGCCTTTTCCTGTTGAGATTGTAGGTGTTGAGCAAGACTGTGCTTCTCTTGGGAGATGGTTCTAAAGAGTGAGACAGGATGCTGTCTTTTCCTAAAACAAATGAGGTCCCTGGGAACTCCAGAAGAAGAGGGAGGGAGGAATTCAGGGTGGGGGAGGGAGGAAAAGGGGAAAGATCGAGAGAGAATATTGTCTGAAGCAATTAGAAGTAAACAACATCAACTCAGGGTTCACATTTCTAAGAGTTACTGAAACTAGAAAATTAGACATAGCACTCCTGCAATTAACTTGCTTTTGTAAGATACACTAATTTAAAGAAACAGCATTAACCAACAGGTTGAGGCAATAAAGGCTGATATCCTAAAGAATATTTTTAACAATCTTCAAAGATTAACTTAACCTAAACAGACCACGGGAATTTACCTGGAGAAACGGAGGAAGGAAACAAATAAAACTCCATATGGCTTCATGCAGTGATTCAGAGCCTGGGCAAGCAGCATTTTTTGGAAATGTGGATGACTTTAAACGGTTGCTGTCTTTTGGGAAAACGTCTCCCCACCCACATCTCCACACCTCCGTTGGACACACTCTCGCCTCAAGCCACCTCCAATGGCTACTGCTCTGCCTTTCTCATCTCCACACCCATCACTTTAGCATGTCTTACTGGCTTGTTTCCAAACACACACTAAATGTGGGCTTTTTCGAGGGAGGCAGCTTGGCCCAGGCACCATCTATTGCACACAGGGTCAGAACAGCTGCCGCCAAAGCCTGCCCTTCCCAGTCCTCCTGCATGTGTCACACACTGGCTAACATCATTCCAGTCCCTGGCCAGGCCTATGGGACTCAGGCCTATGCTGTGGCCCCTGCCTGCGCTTTGATTTCAGCTCCTACCTTGAATCTCCATTCTCATCCTGTGCTAGCGGTATCAGATGGCCATCCACCTTCAAAAGCAAGCCACTTCTTTTTTCTTTTGCTGCCATGCTCATGTGCAGCTGGACTTCCCTCTCAGCTCAGAGATAGCCACTGGGTACCAGCAGACTAGGTGGTTAGACTAAACAAAGCAGATGCTCTCTCTGTCAGTGTTAGCTCCTTAGTCATTATCATCCATACTCTCCTGCTTCCTTCCCAGCTATGCCATCCTTGCTTTATTATTATTATTATTAGTTGTTGTTGCTATTACACCCTTCCACTCACCATGTGTCCTGCATGCTTTCCATAGGCTTGTCTTTTTGCCTCCATCAGTCTTGTTCCACTTATCTCACAAACTCAAGAAAGTCCATTTTCAGGCATACATGCTTCTGGTGAAGTATATATAGAAAGCAGTTAGTGAGAGCCAAGACCTTTAGTCATGCTGGAGAAAGCCACGAGAGCAGAGCATTCCATTGTTTCCACAAATGTTTACTCAATCCATGAATGGAGCAGCGGTCAGTGAGCTCCTCAGCATTGCTTCACTGGGAGGGTCTGTAAAGCTACAGAGGAAAATGCTTCCCTAAATTCTGTCTTCAGTTCCACGAGTGGTAGACATTTCTGTTCAACCAGTCTCCCTAAGGTGTGAACAAGAGTCAGCACCTCAATTTAGCTTTTCCAGCAGATTTCTTAGGCTTGACTTACTTGATTCTGCCATTCAGTGTTGGTTTGGATTTAAGCTGTTTGTTAGTTTATTTCTGAATTCTGATGTAGGCTGGCAGACTCATCAGCATAACCACGGATGGTGTAAGTCTGTGACTGTTTGCTTTTAGCTGTAGTAATGACATGCCTGGGAATTAGGTGACGTTTGCAATGACATTGAAACACAAGATCATCTCAAACCCAGCACATGCTGCATATATGCTTTAATATGAACAGATTTTATGTTCCCTAGAAAGCAGGTGAAGAATAGCTTTACCTCACCAAAAACTTCATCTACCCTTACTCTTCTTTATTTTGGCTTGGCCCTCCAATTTCTATGTTCATTCTCAGGCAGTAAGAAGTTCATTTCAGACTCCAGATAATCCAATCTCATAGGCTATAGGCCTAACACAACAGAGAGCAAAAAGTTCCAAACTTTATCTAAAGTAAAGATTCCCAATTTCAGGCTGCACCCTGGAGGGAAGGGGGTGTTTTGATAACCTTGTGTTCCCTTTCTTTGTTAGCCACTCCCATCTCCTCTTATCCTGGCTGAAGCTTCTAACCCTCCTAGGGCGGGGCTAGAGCGATTGAGGTAGATATGAGGCAGGCAGTGTCTTTTTGACTGGGTGGAGAGCCCGTGCCGCATCTTTAGAACACCTCTCTGGGGACTTCAGGGGTCCTTCTCCTGTCAGTGGTGATTTGTGCCTTTTGGTACTTTCCTCGGCTATTGAGCATCTTTTACACTGTGCTCTTGGGCCGATTTTAGAAAGCTGTGACTTTGATTTCTCTCAAGTTATCCACATCCATTTGACACAGGATGTGTGGGTCTGTACCCTAGGCACAGAAGGCATCACATGCTTTCAGCATGGGGTGGGTGCTTTCTCCTCTATGCAACATACACCCACAGTTACAGCTTGTGCCCTCTGGATTCAAAAGCATATGAACTGACCAGTTCCCTTCTCTCTGTCTCTTTGTTTCCCTGCCTCTGCCCCTCCCTGCAACAAACTTAGTTGGGCATACATGTAACCCTACAAATGCCCCCTAGCAAGTAACAGCTATGAGTTGGTCCTGCTACTCTTCCTTTTTTTTGTAAAATCTCAGTGTATAAGATATTCCTTCTGCTTGTCTATCTCAGATGGTTTGTGCCCCCGAGTTTGGTTCAGTAGCCTCTTTCTTCTGAGACCTCTGAGGTGGTCCTTTCCAAGTTCAGGTAGCAGTCAGCATGTACTATTTTCTTCTCAGTATGTGTTCAGGTGGCAGACAAGAGTCCCATTACACACACAGAAACATACAGACACATGCACATACATATATACATGAAGATGTCATCAGAATGAACATAGAGACACACATACACATACACATACACACAAGGATGCCATCAGAATGAAGAATTTCTATGCCCTATGGGTTGTAATCAGAGTTGTTTTTTTGTGTGTGTGTGTTTGTTTTTGTTTTTTTTTTTTTTTTGTGTGTGTATATGTTCCATTCAGGACCAAACATTCTGTAGTCTCTTATTTTTCACACTTTGACTAATTGTGTTTCTCTCTCTGTTTGGCTGCAAATAGAGGCTTCTTTGAATAGGATTATAAGATATATTAATTTATGTGTATATTATGCCATTAGAAATTTATTCAGTAATATGCCCATTCAACAGTAGAATAGCAGTAGGGCATGTGGCCTGTCTAGCTATAATCACAAATTATTGGCTGGTGAATGTTGCCAGGATTGAATTTCTTCTTGTGGAGTTGGCCTTAAATACAAGCAGAATGTAGTTGGTTATATTCATGATGTCTATGCCACTGTTGTTCTAATGGGCATGTGTGATGACTTGAATAAGACCCCATAGTCTCAAGCATTTGAAATCTTGATCCTTAATTGGTGGCACTGTTGGGTAGTGCTATGCCCCATGTGGCTTGCTTCTGCAATCTTGACTAAAGACAGTGAAGGATGAAAAAATGACAGACACACAAACAGAAAAGCTAGCGATGAGTAGGGTGTGCATCCTCTGATGGAGCTGCACCTGCTTCTCTTACAACCCAGAACCTTAGCATGCTTATTATGTACATCACAAGGAAAAGTTAGCTAGTCTTGGTGTGAGGTCTTTGTAGGCAAGGTATCTGAGGCTCTAAACATCCAAGAGGAGGGAGCTGTAATTTCTAGTAGTTTTTACATGCACTTGATCAACCATCTGTAAACACTGGTACTTGGACTATACTAAAAAGACTTTGTCACTTTCAAGCCTCACCCACATGGAAAAAGACTTTGTCATCTCCCATGGGTCTGAGGCCTTGATCTTTGTGTGGCTGTGCCCATGTCAATAATACATATTTATTCAGGACTTCATTCATTCACAGCTTCCTCTGCTCCCTACAGGATAGGGTTGGAAGGTGTAACTGTGCTGGAGAGTGTTACTGAGGGCAAGCCTTAGGGAATATTCTACTCCCAGTGTGTACTCTCTGCTTGGTGCTTGCAGTCCAAGACGTGAGCCCTCAGCTTCCTGCCCCTGCTGTCATGCCTTCACTCCACTATTGTGGGTTTTTTTTTTTTTTTTTGAGACAGAGTTTCTCTGTGGTTTTGGAGGCTGTCCTGGAACTAGCTGTTGTAGACCAGGCTGGTCACGAACTCACAGACATCTGCCTGCCTTTGCCTCTGCCTCCTGAGTGCTGGGATTAAAGACATGTGCCACCACTGCCTGGCTCTACTGTGGGTTCTAATCCTCTAGAATTGTACACTCAAATAGACACTTTTCTCTGTAAATAGCTGTGGTCATGGTGTCTTATCACAACAATAGAACATTAATTAAAGCAGCATGTCTTGCCTGGCCAGTAGTTATTGCGGCTTGAAAAATTTGCAGCTGGGTAAGGCTGATGATCTCTTTTCTCCTCTGGTACTGTGCATAGAACCTTCCAGAACCGTGAAGTCTGTGTGTATCAAAAGAACCTAGCTATAATCCTTGATTTTTCATTAGGGGCTTCCATCTCAGACAATGTAGTCTGAATTCAAAACCCCAGTTCTCTAGGGATTTTCAGAGTCTCTATTTCTAAACTAGAGGCTGGGGAAAGTGCAGAGATTCTTCGAGTTTGGGGCCTGTAGGGCTTCTGGCTGTGGGTTAGGATCTTCCTGTAATCTTATTCCTGGCATGGGCCTAGCTTCATCCTTCATAGTTCCTTGGCCACACTCCAGCACATCTACAGACCCTGCCTTTTTGCCCTGGCACTGCATCACAGTAGAGGTAATGCATGGCTCTAACTTTTCATTGCACCCATGGAGGTAGCTTTTTCTAGTTTGGAGCAATGTGCCTCAAAGGACAACTGTTTGCCCTAGTTTACCTAGTCTAATTGGTTTTTAAGGGACAGTTTCTACCACCCCAGAAAATTTAGCCTGTTGGAATCCTCCAGATAAAATTTCAAATAAGTGGTTTAAAATTTCATGTCCAGGTATTACAAATACTGGTTTAAAAACAGGGACTACACAGATATAGAAAGAATCTTATGGTTGATCTAGACAATCCAGGCTAGATTCCCCTTTTCAAAGACACAGCTAATAATAATAAGCCCTCACATTTGATTACCGACAGAGCCAAAGATGGGGACCACATCATATAAGATACAGGATGCTTTCTTGTCTGGGTTTGCTCTTACATGCTTTCATTTCAGACTTAAGTAGATGCTGGACCTTAGAAGGAGAGAGACAAAATGTCTACTGGAGCAGACACCAAGGCCAGAGGGGGAGACATTCCCAATGACAGCAATTTAAACACGACCCAAGAACAATCCACCAAGAAAGGTAAACTCATACACAGACCTCTGGCTATGAGAAAAATAGGATCTATGTCACTTAACTTTCTTTTTCTCACTTCTGCCAATAGTCAACAGAGCTTAATAGTGATAAAGCATTTTTACTCATAATTACTTCATTTCTCACAGGTAATCTTGAAGGCATACAGAACAGATAAGAATCATGTGGCTATTATTTGGAAGTGAAAACAAAAACTCAAAATTACTAAAAAACAAACAAAACCCCCAAAACAAAAACAACAACAAAAAACCCAACCAAACAAAAAACAAAACATACATAAAAAACCAACTAGCCAATTGTAACGAGTACGGTTTTTCCGCCTGCCGCCACCCGGTCTTGTCCTGCCGCTGCGCCAGCCCCAAATAATACACAGAGACTCTGTATTTGATATTATACTGTTGGCCAGGTACTAGTTTCTTATCAGCTAGCTCTGCCTTAGTTATTAACCCATTTGTGTTAATCTATGTATGTCCATGTGTTCTTCTTACCGGGAGCCGGCTGCCGCATACTGCTCTCCCCAGACTCTCCATCTTGACTCCTCCTTACTTCTTCCTATTTCTTCCTTGTCTCCTAGTCCCTCCTATCTTCCTTTCCTATTGGCCAACAGTGCTTTATTTATTAACCAGTATGAGAAAAATATACAGAATGATATCTCCCATCAGCCAATAAACCCGAATCACCTCAGAGAAGATTTGAAATAGGAAGCTGAGCTTGGCCTTTGGCCAAGGGTTGAGGTCTGTTTAAATCATTTAAGATCACTGTCAACTTTCCCTCCTGAAAAAGCTAACAAGGACAGAATGATAGACATGTACACAAACTAAAAACTCAGCTCAATTACATATGCTAAATTGCAATTAAAGTAAAATTCTAGTTAAAGTAGCAAGACAAATTGTTCTGTCCTTAGAAATAGCTTGTGAGTGAGAGATTATTTTATGAATGCAAGGAAAGTCAAATGTTAGCATCTGCCATCAATGCATTATGTGAATGCTTCAGTTCTCATAGACGTACCTACTCACAAATCTTTTACAATGCTGGTGAAGTACAGGAGCCACAAAGACTTTCAAACCTTGCTATTTGTTGAGCATCTGAGATGGAGATCCAGGTGACTGACTCCAAGATTAAAAGACAGTATATAAAACCTGTGAATATTAAAATAGGAGTAGGATATTTAGTGTGGTTGAAGTAAATGCCTCACTCACAAGCAACAACATAAAGGAGTGTTTCCAGTAAATTCTGATCTAGCAGGAATGCTCTCCCCAACATGCTGATGGACAAAAAGAAAAGAAATGATATCAATGTTGCAAACAGTAGAAAGAATTGTTTTCCCACATAATTTGCACGTATATGTGTACATATCATCTGTTTGTCTGTCTATCATCTATCCAACCAAAGCCCAAGGGGGAGAAAAAAGATGAAAATGACAGGTACTGGGCATGGTCACACCTGTAATCCTAGCACTTGGGAGGCTGACATAGTAGGATCTTGAGTTTGAGACCAGCCTTGTCTGCATAATAAGACCCTATCTCAACAAACAAATAAATAAATAAACATAATAATAAGCTTAATTTATTCTAGAAGCAGCACAAAGTACTTGATGAAACCTACAGGGGCTTAACTGATGATTATAGTTTCATGTTGGGGCAGAGAAAAGACGTAAGTACATGGATGAAGCATGGAGAAGACAACTTGCCACCCTTCTTAATGGAATATGACATGTCAAAACAACAGTGACCAAAATTCCACTTTAATTTTCAGAAGGAGGTCCTAGACTTAAATGGTCCTAGACGTAGTCCAAAGGTGGTATCTGTCAATCCTGAATTTAACAAGTGCATCTCCACATGCAAGGGTGTAGTGCTGGCTACTCCAGCTTTGTCTGCTCCCTGGCTGAAGCCTGGAAGCTGTAAACTCAGAGTTTGACCACAGTGACCACATGTTACCTCTGCCTCCCAGCTGTGGTCAAACTAAAGTAATTGGAACAGAGGCAAGCATTTTGCAGGCCTAGATTACAGTATATAAGATGAAGACGATACACAACCTAGCACTAGCCTGCCAATCATATTAGTCCTTCAAACCTGAACAAGTTAAATATCTTACTTTTAGTAGTTATAAATGACACTGGTATCAGCTGTTTAAGCGGGGAATTAAGAGTCATTTTCAATCCCCACCACCACCACCACCACACACAATACACACAGCAATCTCAGTTTCCTGACAGTTCCGAATCTGCTCTTGCCCTTGATGGCTCATTCCAGAGCCTTGAAAACCCCATCTCTGATACTGGCACTCCATATATTCTTTAAGGCTCTGCTTCCAAGGAACTAGCTTTCTCTGTCTCAGGAGAATGGAGCCTCCCGCAGAACAGTATTTGGACTTCTTATACTTCCAAGAACCAAGCAGATGCCAGCCTTTTGCTTCCTTCAGACCTAGAAAGCATAGGAAGAAAGCAGACTGACTGTATGATTTTTTGTCTCTTTTCCTCCTAGGCTTCTGTTCACTGCGACATGGTCTAGCTTTCATCTTGCAGCTCTGTAACTTTTCAATTTATACCCAACAAATGAACCTGAGTATTGCCATAACAGCTATGGTGAACACCACAGCAGCATCCAGCCAGCTAAATGCTTCCACAGAAAGACCTCCCGCCAACTCCCAAGACTTCTGGAATGAAACACTACAAGAATCTAAGGTAGTGATACGTTTTGTGAGAGCCTGAACTATTTCTTTGATTCAAGAACCATCTTATGAGCAAATGAAATCCGTTTAGCATGAGAACATAATGCATATATGAGAAGATTTTTATCTCTCTCTATTTAGAGTCTATAAGTGAAACCATGGCTAAGTCAGAGCGAAACATGGTTAATCATCCAGTAAAAATAAATTCTTCTTCTACAAGGATGAAAGCCATCGCTAAAACAGGTTCTCTTCCACATAACGCTCAATAGCTCAGCTATGATGGTTTTTTTTCTTTATGAGCTTTCTCTTCTGTCTGTATCTATTATATAATATATATGTGTATATATATATTACATAAAAATATAGTAATTTATATAGAACCTATATGGATATGAATACTATATGTGTTTGCCTTTCTAAGGCAGGGACTTTCTATATTAGTCTTTAAGCTCATTATCTTCCTGCTTCAGCCTCCTAAGTGCTTGGATTCCAGGCATGTATCAGCATGGACTTCCATATTTTAATTAGTTAGTCTATCATGTCAGGTGATAAGAAAGAGTATGATGTGCATGGTCTTAGATTTTTTTTCCTTGTGAGACTGGTGGATTGGAAGAATTGAAGATAGGTTAAAATAGACCTCAAATTGCTTTTTGTGTCTCAAATCTTACAGTCAATAGTTAACTGCTGAGCCAGGTGTGGGACATTGTTGTAATCTCAGGACTTTGGAGGTGGGAGCAGGACTAAGAGAACAAAGTTAGCCTGGGCTGGCGAGAATCTGTCTCCAAACAAAAATGAAATGAAACAAGCCATTTTTGCAGCCAAACAACAAAGCCCTCCTTGTCGCCTAGGCCCCCGTGTATGACTGGACTCCTGAGATCCAGGGAATCCTTCTCAGCTCCCTGAGCTATGGATCATTCTTAGCTCCGATCCCCACTGGATATGTGGCTGGAGTATTTGGAGCCAAATATGTGGTTGGAGCAGGCTTGTTAATTTCTTCAGTCCTGACTCTCTTCATTCCACTGGCAGCTGATGCTGGAGTAGCCTTGCTTATTGTACTTCGTGTCATCCAAGGCATAGTTCAGGTATCAAGATCTTCACCAGGTACAACTGGCACATATCTATATTCTAGAATTATCTCATATCTCTAAGAATGGATAATTTTCCCCAGGTTATGGTATTAACAGGTCAGTACTCAATATGGGTCAAATGGGCTCCCCCACTGGAAAGGAGTCAACTCACCACCATCGCTGGATCAGGTAACTGGTATCTTAATCTCATTTTATAAGCACTGCCCAAGAGTACTCAGCAATGAACTATTAAGAGTTAGCCTATCTTCATAATCCTTGCTTTTTAGAAATAGACCATCTTTTTTTTTTTTTAAAAATCAAGTCAGCATGTTAACAATGTATCAAACATTCTTGGATTTTGAATACATTCATTTCTTTTACCCTCATAGTAACCTTATAAATCATCTAAGGAGTGTGTACACAGTGTAAAGAATCCAAGACACAAATAGACTGATAGTGTCAGATTATACAGTCCCTGAGTGAAGGAGCAGGGTTAGTATTGTGTTAGTCTGGATAGAAGCCCAAACCCTCAGGCACCATCACTCAACTCTGTAGGAAACTTGCTGAATCCCAAGACCAGCTCTCATCCCTATAATGTCCTTTTATCTTTTGCTCAGGGTCAATGCTTGGGACCTTCCTTGTCCTCATTTCTGGTGGTCTCATTTGCCAGACATTCGGGTGGCCTTATATTTTTTATATTTTTGGTAAGTTTCTTTTTTAAAAAAAATCTCAAAATGTCTATGACAATGAATGCTGGGCATCTGTGATGAACATATCTCTGGTTATCCAAATCCTAACAGGTTGCATTTATGTAAAATTGGCAATGTTCAAAATTAGTCATTGTGTAAATCTTGCTGATTTATAAAAGAGCATCTAAATTTTAGTATTCAAGGGTTGGGAGAGATGGCTTAGCAGTTGGGAGTATTTGCTGCTTTTGCAAGGACTCATATTCAGTTCAAAGCACTGACAAGTTGGCCCATAACCATCTATAACTCCAATTCTAGGGGACCCCACACCCTCTTCTGACCTCCACAGGAACACATACACATATGCAGGCAAAGTGCTCATGCATAAAAAAAATAAAACAAATAAATCTGAAAAAAACTAGTATGAATTTTAGTAGTCTGAATATATGGTTGAGTAACCTTATGACTTTAAGACTTCCAGTATACACCTTTCTGAGCTAGGGAGATGGCTCAGTTGGTAAAGTGGTTGCCATGTAGGCATAGGAACTGAGTCTGATTTCCAGAACCCATGTTTAAAAAATGGGTATAATGGTGAACATCTGTAATCTTAGCACTGAGGAGGCAGAGACAGGGAGGGCCTTGAACTTGATGACAGCCAGCCCACCCTCCTTGATAAATCCCACCCCATTGAGAAATGTTGTATCCAAAAACTAGGTGGATGACATCTGAGAGATGACATTCAAATTTGATGAGCCACACAGTACTGATGATGTTGAGTGTATTGGATAAATTTTTGATGATGATTAACTTCATTCTACATGTAGAAATGGTCTAGGTAATCCATTGCACATAAAGCAAGAATGATAAACCAAAGGCAGGAAAAGGCTCAACGAAGAAGAGAACTTTGCAGTACAACCAAGTGGAGGAGTGCCCACTGGTGCTCAGTTGTGAGAGAGAAGTGCACGAAGAGCTTGTATGGATCCTCAGTGGGACAGTGTGTGTGTGTGGTATGTGTGGTGTGTGGTGTGTGGTGTGTGGTGTGTGGTGTGTGTGTGTGTGTGTGTGTGTGTGTGTGTGTGTGTGTGTGTTTCAAAGCCTCTGTGAATGTGTTGGTTTGAAGCACTTGTCATTCTTCCTGAAGTCCCATGGAACTACTGGTGACCTCTAATCTGTTTCTCTCATCATCTGCCTTGGTTCATGGAGTCACTGGAGGATGTTCCTCCCTAGAGGACAATGAAAAAAGGCAGCTGCCCTCAGGCATAGGCAAAAGCAAGTTACATGAACAAGACCTAAGTCAAGTGGTGGCAAAGTATCCTCCATGACAGTGTCATTCAAGCCACAGAAATCATCACACTGAAAGAAAACACCCATGCAATGCTGACTGGGTCTTCTATCGTAGGTGGAATTGGCTGTGTCTGTTGCCTGATCTGGTTTCCTCTCGTATATGATGACCCACTGAATCACCCCTTTATCAGCCCTGGTGAGAAGAGATACATTGTGTGTTCATTGGCTCAAGAGGTACATTGAAGAATTTCCATGTCTTTTTCCCTGGGTGTCTCAGAGGTAGTTGTAGCAGGGAAGCTCCTATCTTGTGATAGAGGGGACAGTCACGTGTGTTTTCTTTTAGGATTGTTCGCCAGGCTGCTCACTTCCCATTAAAGCCATGGTCAAATCTCTCCCACTTTGGGCCATTGTAGTGTCTTATTTCTGTCAATACTGGTTGTTATCCACCATAATGGCATACACACCCATATATATCAGCTCTGTACTTCAAGCAAACCTCAGAGATGTGAGTACAAAGAAGGTGCACCCAGTTATTGTGTTTCTCTGTACGATCTCTCTCATGGCCACGGGATGAGGGATTAGGCCAGGACTCCTTACAGGAAATGCAATTAGGATTCACATTAGTGTGGTCCACTGCTTACTTGAGCAGAGGCATGGTTCCAAATCAGGTCATGGTGTTATACTCTTAAAAGTCCCATACAAAAATTCTATACTTAATGCAGTCAGCATTTATAAACAAGATATTCTATTGGCAGCATAAACTTTTCTAAATTTAAAAATGATTAATAAATCCTGTTGCAAATAAGACATTAGACTTCTTTTCCTTCCTTCGTTCCTTCCTTCCTTCGTTCCTTCCTTCCTTCGTTCCTTCCTTCCTTGATTTTTTTCCCCTGAGATAGGGTTTTGCTAAATAGCCTAGGCTGCTAGGCTGGCCTAGAATTTACTAAGTGGCCGAGGTTGGCCTCCAAATCCATGTCTTTTTACCTCTGCCTCTCCACTGTGGGATTACAGGTATGTACCACCAAGACTAGCTCAACATCTTTAAAATAATTATTTCTACATGGTCTTTATATATGAAGACAGCCTTTGTCCTTTGCTTTTATTAAAAATGATTGAAGCCAGGTATAGTGCATGCTTTTAATCCCAACACTTGGGAGGCAGTAAGATATGTGTGAGTTTGAGCCAGCCTGCTCTACATAGTGAATACTGGGTCAGCTAGGACTACATAGTAAGAATGTATATATATATATATATATATATATATATATATATATATATATGAGTTATGTGAATATTTTCCCTCCAGAATTAAAGTTAAATGAGAATTCCAGTAACAAAGAATTTAACTTACACTGAAAGTGACATGTATAATGCAAAGCCATAGACACCGCCCATCCATCAGGATCAGTCAGGGACATGATGGGAAAGTGAAGAGGATGATTGTACTTACCTAGCTCCAATCTCCAGAGTGGAATCCTGTCGGCCCTGCCCTTCGTGTTTGGCTGTGTCTGCATTATCCTTGGGGGCCTGTTGGCAGATTTTCTCCTCTCCAGAAAAATTCTCCGACTCGTAACTATCAGGAAGCTCTTCAATGCCATAGGTAAGAGCCAAGCTGGCTGCTAGGTGGCTGTGGGAGCTCGGGACCCTCTTTTTAAATGTCTGTTGCTCTGCTGCAGGGGTCCTTGTCTCATCTGGAATCCTGGTGCCTCTGCCTTGGGTCAGATCCAGCCGCATCACCACAATGGCCTTCTTGGTTCTATCATCTGTCTTCTGCAGCCTCTGTGATTCAGGAGCCCTCATTAACTTCTTAGATATTGCTCCACGGTAGAGACCCCTTTGACTTATTCTCATAGAAGCTCAGTTCAGTTCCAAGAACCCTATCTACCCTTGCTCTGATGCAAAGGTAAAAGATAGTATGTTCATCAGGTCACTGTAGATAGTAACATCAATGCTACATCTCTGTAATTCCTGGAAGGGGCTCTAGGCTAGTCGACCATTGTGAATGCAGCCTTTTCTAGGCGGCCATACAGACACCTCACCTGACAATCTCTTCTGAAGAAGGCAGTGGATACTGGTTACTGGAAGGTCTCAAGAGATCCTGTCATGGAGGCCTGTGCAAAGCTTAAATAGAGGGAGAGGGAGTTGAGAGAAATGGCTCAGCTGCTAAATACTTGTCAGTCAAGCATGTTGACTTGACTTTCACCCCCAGAATCCACATTAGAAGAAATAAGATAAAATAAGCCAGAGATACACTTGTAGTCCCAGTACTGGGAAGATGGAGAGAGGCAATGATCCCTGTGGCTTACTTGCAGCTGGCCTACCCTACTCGGCAATTTCCAAGTTAGTGAGAGACATTAATTCCAAAGGAAAATGTGGACAACACCTGAAGAATGATACCCAAGGTTGTCCTCTGGCCTGCACATGGAGCTCACACATATACATGCATACCAGCAAACATGTGAATACATATACATCTACAAAAATAAAGGGAAAAGACAGAACCAGAGAAAAAGCATTATATCTGGTCCAAGTCAGGCCAAAGATAACTGAGACCAGACATAAGACTTCTGGGGTCTAATCCAGGCAACTTCATCTTTACACGATGAGTCACTGAGACATGTGGGAGGTAAGCCAGTCTCAGAGAATAACCATCTCATCCCATGAAGGTCTTTGATGCAGAAGGAGACTTTTGTATCCCTAAACAGGACTACAAGCTGGGCTCAATAAGAAGAACCAAGAAGTTGACATGGTAGCATAGACTACCCTGGAAGGGTTGAGCCTGTAGATAGGAGTACAGGTATCATTAGTTAGCATACTTTGTTCAAGTTTAATATACAGCATCTTAAGTGTTATAATTTTTAAAATGCCACCAAGAGAAGTCACACCATACAACAGGACTCACATATGAGGTTTATTGGAAGAGGAGAGAGAAGAAAGGGGGACAGAGATGGCAACAGAGACTAGTCGCTGGGAATGAGAGTGGTGGAAGAAAAGGGGAGAGAGGGAAAGAGAGCGAGAGCGAGCGAGCGAGAGAGAGAGAGAGAGAGAGAGGGAGAGAGAGAGAGAGAGAGAGAGAGAGATGGGTAGGGTCCTTTTGAAAGGGAACATGATAAATGTGCACTGGAGGTGTTTTTAGTGTCTGCAATCGAGGGCATATCCTGTCAGGACCACAAGGGCACACCAGTATAGATGCCAGAATACTAACACTAAGCATCCCCAGAGATAAGCATAGAGATACCACAGTGCAATGAAAACAAGATGAGTCCTTTGCTTACATGAAACCATCCCCTCCCCAGGTATGCTGGCTTTCTCAAAGGACTTTTGCAAGTCTTTTCTCGTATAGCAGGAGGCATAGCTCCTACTGTTGCTGGATTTTTCATTGGTCAGGTAAGATTAAACACTGTAAGGAATATTAATAAAAGAAACTGAATGGTGGTAGTTAGTAGAAGTCAGTCTATGGTGTGTTAGTTCCTCAGCGAGGAAGACTTCAAAGCTTATGAGACTGGTGCCCTAACATACTCCATTCCCAGCTCAACTTATATAGGGAAATTCCATATTCCATGTGTGTGGTGTGTGAGAATGCTTAGTGTTGTGGGTTATGGTTTGTGAGCTCTTACAAGATGAGCTCCTCATGTTAAAATCTCACATTTCCAGTAATATTCGAGGCATTTCTCCTACAGAATAGTATGAGCATCCATCGTTGTTTACCTCAAACTTAGGGCTCTCAGAGTTTTTGAGAGGTTTTCAGTGTTATCATCTTGAATGTTCTGGGAAAACTAGGATGAAGTGGTTTTCTGTCTAGGAAGGTAACCAGTCTTTGGAAGTTGATGAGCAAGATGTTTAGTGAATGACTGAGTGGAAAGTTCCCTGAACCACACACCTATGCTCTGCCATTCATTGAACTCACTGCTCTTTGGTCAGAGCAGAAACACCCCTGACCAGTGAAGCTGGGATGGTGGTTTTCATTCTGAAGTTTTCCATCCTGGAGATGCATATTGATGCAGTTAAAATAAGCAAGGCAATTTGGTACATACTTGTAATTCCAGCACTTAGAAGGCCAGTTTGGTCTACACTGTCAGGCCCTGTCTCACAAACAAATCCCTAAAAGAAGAAACAAACAAACAAACAAACAAAACAAAAAACAAAAAAAGTTCTTATAAACAAATAATTAAACATGATGATTTTTGCCCAAGAACTACATAGATACACATCTCACATGGAAAAGGATGTCTGTAAGATTTATGAAAATCCCACTTCTAGCTTTCCCATGACTTTTTTTCAGTAACTCGGAAAAATACAGGAGGTTAACAAAGAAAGGATTTTTGTTTTAATGAAATCAAGTCACTTCTTGCCTTTGAAGCTTCTATTCCTTTCTAGTCTCTGAAAACAGAGTTAGGGATTGCTTAAAAGGAAACATTTTACATAGACCTTGTTTCTCTTGCCAGTTGTTTTAGCAAACAAATATACAAAGGTCCCCCCAACCCTACTCTATGAAATCTAAGTGGAAAAATTTGTCAGAAAACTAAATTATAGACATATTTGGTGGTAAGTGCTGAGAGAAGAGAGTAGGAAACAAGACCAATTTATCAGTGTGGTCTAAGAAGGAATCTTTGAAAAGGTGACATTAAGTGAGTACTTGAAAGAAGTGAGGGTGTCAGTCAAAAGAATGCCTGGTAGGAAAAGTTGTCTAGCAGAGGGAAGGGAGGGTGTGATGGCCCAATGTAAGACATGTGGCAGTATACTCCAGGAGAAAGATGGGAGTCATGAAGGCTGGGCTGAGTTAGGAGAATGAGCATCAAAACATAGAACCACAACTTTTCTGAACTATGGTATAAGAAGAAAACCACCATTATTAACAAGTAGTTTCCTGCCTCCAGGATCCAGAGTTTGGCTGGAGAAATGTCTTCTTGCTGGCAGCTGCTATTGATGTAGTAGGCCTGCTCTTCTACCTCATCTTTGGTCAAGCAGAGGTACAGGACTGGGCTAAGGAACAGATATTCACCCATCTCTGAGAGAAGTGAGCAATGTGTGAGATCCTGACACATCCCTTCAAAGATCTGCTTTTGTGCCTTGGCTGTTAAAGCCATCTAGCTGGAAGGGACTTCATTTCCAGGATCATCTCAGAGATCCTGGCTATGAGATATTAAAGGTAATTTCCCCCCACAATTTGAAGTTTCACAAGGGAAGGAAAACATTAGTTGTTTATAACGGTATGCTCCTGGAAGCACAGTTGTGTCTGACTTTCTACGAATACTCTATACTTTTCCCTGTTGCCATGATAAAAGCATCAAGGGCTGGAAGGCAATTTGCCACCAAAGCTAAAGAGGAACGCAGAAGTACAGGTGTGATGAGTTGGAACCATGGGAAAGTGATACCACGAACTCTGTAAGTTGTCAACAAAAGAGACCTGACAGCTTGGAGAACAATGTCTGCATGCTGAAGTCATGGGGCAGGAGGCCAAAGTGGAAAGTTGCTCTCATGTTAAGTGACGAGATTAAAAAGCCAGTGCAATGTGTGTAGGGTGTCTAACTGAAAGCAATGAGAATAAAGAACAATGAAGAGTAAATCTCTCATGCAAAAAAGAAATGAACTTTCTTCAACTAATGCAAGATGGCTAATAGAATTCAACTATTCCAGACAATTTTCTGTCTGTGGCTTGGTTTTGGATCAAAACCACTTCTAGAATATAAACACCACTCAGGTACTCTCTGGAGTCAACTCTTCCATAGCTACCTTCTTTCTTTCCACTTTGACCTGGGCCCCTCATCTCGATGTGGATCTGTGTAAATCCTTTATGCCTTAGTCTTAGTGAGCAGACATTGCTTTGTGTGTCTCTGATCTCATGCACTGCTTTGCAGCATCAGTCTCACGCTGGCTGCCCTTTGCCTGCTTCTTTGACTCTTATGGTTTCAGCCACGGTGCAATGAGTCTCATTCAATGGCGAATGTCTTCTAACAAAGTCTATAAGACCCATGCTTGCTCCAGCTCATTCTGCAGTATGCATGTATGGTGTCTCTTTGCATTAAGAATCTGCATGGGTGACACAGTAACTACAAAATAGGACATAAGCTCTCAAACACTAAATGAATATATCAGTGTGTATGAAGATATGGCAGACATCACAGTCACACACAGCTTGAAATAGCTCAATATCACAGGAGGATAGATAGCTTTAATAAAATCACAAGCAAGTGTGCAGTGACAGCTGTGGAATACAGAATAAGGAGGGGCATATCTTACTAGAATAAGTAAGTGTCATGCACTAATTCAATGGTGAATGGTGGCCATCAGCATTACACATCATCAACTGAGCTGGTATCCAAAAGTCAGCTGATATAGAAGGCCAATGGAATGAATGCTCTAGGGAGAATTTCTGGGAAGATCCACAACATATACAAAGGTTTGATGGTAAAAAAAAAAAAAACCCAACAATAAAACAAACAAACAAAACAAAACCAGGAGTGAATAAGAGCAGAATTGCAGAATTGGCTGGGAGACAGTTAAAGAGGAAAAATCAGGAGTGAAGGAGAGCAAACTGGGATGTGAGGAGGTTATAGAAGTATTGAAGCCAAGAACACCTAGGGCATTGTGGACCCAGGGAAGAGTATTTGTATGTTAAAAATCAGTGATAGTGTTTTAATGGAAAGGGACATAATCAGGCTCCTGATTTTCAGTGGCCACACTGCATAAAAATCTTGGTTATGAGGTGCCAGTGCAGTCCAGGAGAGTGGTGGTCTGTGACATGGGTGGAGCGGGGTAGTGAGAGATAAGCAAGTATAAAGCCTGACCACACTAGTACTCTATGAGAGAGTGGATGGTGTCCACAGCAACAGTTGCATTTTGGTTTGTTGTTAGATCAATGGGGATGCTTCTCACAATGATAGCAACATGCACAATGAAGACCACAAACAGACAAGTGGGCACAAAAGTCTGGATAGCACATGTGACATTTGGGGTCCAGTATGAATTTGGTAACAAATTTTCAATTTTCAATGAGATTGCCTGGGTGAATAGTATGACATAAAAAAGAGAAAGCCTATGACTAATCCTTCAAGATTTCCAGTGTTTAATGGTCAGTCAGAGGATGATTAGAGAAGGAAGGGGGCAAGGACAAAGAGAGGAAGGAAGGCAGAAAGGAAGAAAAGTATAAAAGGCAAACCAAGGGAATACTATTAAGATGGAGAAGTGGGAAGAATGAATTACAAAAAGAGGTGATCAGTCAGCATGACATCAATCTGCAGAGATCAGGCTGATGAGGAGAAGGCAGCATGAGAAGAAAGGGGTCCATTCCTGAGACATTGGAGGCAAAAGAGTGGGATGGAGAAAGGGGATAGGATCTAGGATCAAAGAAAGTTTGGAGTGAGCTTGTTGAAGACCCCCGAGGCAGAGCTAGTTGAGAAATGAAAGTGTCAGAAGCAAAAACTTCAGGCATGAATGGAAAGTTCCTGGAAGAGGGATAAGGAAGGACTGTTGTGATCTAAAGCCCAGCAAGGAAGATAACAAGAATGGAATGGAGGTGGCATTGCCTTCTACTGACAGTGCAAGTTCATGTCCATATTTGCTAGTGGGAAACCCAGGGAGGGTTTCATCTAAATATCCTTTCTTCTGCTTGGAAGCACAGAAAGTGTGTAAGTGGGTTGTGGGTAAGGCAAAGGCTACAGTATTCTTACTAGACAGAAGAGAGGCATGGCAGAGATGCCCTGCTGGTGGCCAGACAAGGTCATTGCCTTTCATACAACCCCTGGAACACCCATCCATTCTTCCTCTTCTTGGGAACTAGGGCATGCATTGTTTGACACATCTTTAGTGAGGTGTTGGATGCCATTTACAGTAAGTACTAATAAATCTTTGATAAGTCACTTATTGGAGCATCTCTGGGGTGGTATAGAAGACCGTTAGGGGCACAAAAGAAATAGGAAAGTGTCCTACTTTCTGCCCTGTTGTGACAAATACCATGACCAAAGCAACTTATAGGAGGAAGAATTTATTTGATTTGCACATCTGGTCACAGTCTATCATTGAGGGGAGTTAGGACAGGAACTAAAGCAGGGGCTTGAAGCAGAAACCAGGGAGGAATGTCACTTGCCATCTCACCCACAGGTTCATATTTTGCTAGCTTTCTTAATCAGCCTAGGACTATGTCCTCCAGGGTGGTGCTGCCCTCCATGACATGCCCATAGGCCAATATGATATGACCAATACTGTGATTGAGACTCCTTCTCAGGTGACACTAGTTTATGTCAAATTGACAGTTAAAGACAATGGGAACAGGAGAAAAGGAACCAATTTTGCCACAAGTTTATATGCCTTGCTTTCAGAGCCCATGGGCTCTTTTTTCTTACAGTGTTACAGTATCAGAAACCTGGTTGGGACACTTTCACTCTCTTTGGCAATCTTGGAACTGACCCAGGTCTCATTTAACACAGAGTCAGCTATACAAGGTCTTCATTAATCCATCTCTTTTCCTTACCATGACTCTTTTCTTTTTCTTTTTTTTAAATATTTACTTATTTTAATTTTATGCATACAAGGGTTTTGCCTGCATGTATGTCTGTGCACTGTAAGCATGCAGTGTCTGTCGGGGCCAGAAGAGGGCACTGGATCCTTGTATGTAACTCCTTGAAACTGGAGTTAATCATGGTCATTAGCTGCCATGTGGGTGCTGGGAATCAAACCCAGGTCTTCTGGGAGAGCAGTCTTCTTAACTGCTGAGCCATCTTGCCAGTCCCTATTTTTTGTTTGTTAATCAATTCGTCTTTAGCTGCTGCATATAACAACTTTGACTACTCCCTGGGTCCGTCAAAGAGGAAGGTGATTTTTTTTATATATATTTTCTTTCAAAATGGGCCATCCTGAAAGAATAAAAACAATTTAAGATTTTTTAAAATGGTTTGTATATTTACAACAAAGAGGAATGAATGTTGAAAACTGAAAATGAAATGAAGAAAACCAAAGCCAAACCAAAAGGCCTTTCATGAATTTGTGAAGTTTCATCTTATGCTTGAGTACTGGGTCATAGAAGAAGATAGATAGTAAATCCACCTTTAAACTCAGACTTACAAGTTGTTACATATAATACACACTGCAAAAGAAGCACACAGACTAAAGTGGATGGAACTGGCCCCTCAGGATCCTCATGCCACCAGCCTCCTGGTGTTGGTGGCTTCCTGGGGACGGTGGTCTCATTCAGGGTCCTCAATAAGGACTCTGACCTCCTGCTTCACAGGTGATCACTTTTCTATTAACTTTTGTAGGAAAAAGAAAGCAAAACACACAGAGATGTCACTGGAGAGTCCTTGCACCCAGAGTGTGCCAACACCTCAAAGAAATTAGTGTAGGCTAGGAAATCTTTCTCAGGTTGTCTTTCTTGTCCAGTGACAGGTTATCCATGACATTTTCACTTGATCCCCAATGAACGTAAAAATAACTATGACTTCCAGGTGCCACCTTGCCTCCTTCCTCTGCCCTGCCCTGGAACATCTATGTGAAAACATCTGACTGACTGCAGCATTTTGCCAGGGTCAGTCTTGGGGTATGAAGACGCTCAGTGCTATGTGTTGAGGCTGCACCCTGGAAACAAAGCAAGCAAAGAAAAAGCCGCTGTGTCACAGAGTTGGCACCCCCATAGTTTGATATCGCTGCTCTCAAAACAGCACATAACATTTATAGTAATAATAACTACATTCTGTGTCCCCAAATCTCAGCTTTTAATAAACAAATTTGTTATTTTAAAAATGAATATAAAAGTATTCTTGGTGATCCTTCACCAAGCACACACTCCAACTTCCGTGTCTCTGCACTCAATCACCATCTGCCCTTTCTAACAATCATTTCTGCCACCTATAGAGGTTACTGTCTGATGGATTGCAGTAAACCTGGCCTTTGACTGTGAGCAGACATCCACACCAACTCTTCTGTGTGCAGACACCCTGTGTAGAATATGCAAAGAGGTTGTGGCCAAGATGCTAAACCAGGATGTCCACCCAGGGTCCTAACTGGAACAACAATGGAGACGGCACACATCATTCTGTTTTCTTTGTAATGTGTCTGTGTTTTTCTGCTTGGTTGATTTGATTTTGTTTTTGTTATTTTGAGACAGGGTTTCACTATATAGCACTAGCTGTCCCAGAACTCAATATATAGAGTCTTGATGGGGGTTGTCCTTCTGTGTATGTTTCTCTTATAGGTTAATGAATAAAACACTGTTGGCCAATAAGGCAGGAAAGTAAGTGGGACTAGGAGAAGAGGAGAATTCAGGGAAGTGTAGACAGAGAGGAGTTCCAATACTACCAAAGGAGTAACAACATGCCTGGGTGTTACCTGATAAGCCACAGCCTTGTGGCAATACCTAGATTGATAGAAACGGGTTAATAATTAAGATAGAGCCAGCCAATAAGGAGCCCAAGCCACTGGCCAACAGTTTTATACCTAATATAGCGTTTGTGTGTTTATTTGGGTCCAAATGGCTGCAGGAAGCTCAAACAAGAGCCTGGCTTCAAACTCACAGAGATCTGCCTGCCTTTGCTTCATGAATGTTAGGATTAAAAGTGTGTGTCTCCATGTCCAGCCCTGTTCTGGTCTTTTTAAAATTGATTGTACTTATTTTTGACTTAAATTTTCATTGCATATATTCAATGTATATGGCACCTAAGAAGAGCTGCATACAAGCAGATAATGTACATTGAGTGCAGTGCATTCCTCTCATGCTTGCCACCCCTTTGCTTCTTCCCCTCCCCCTCCCCCATTTCCCCCATTGTTTGCCTAGACTGTTTTGCTGATTTTAATGTCCTATATATGCACATGATATTACATATCTGTATGCCTTTATTTTCTATTTATACTTTTTTAGTCTTGTGTGTGTGTTTGAAGCTTTATATGTCAATCATGCATTGCCTACCTTTCTATCAGCATCTTGTCAGCTGGACAGAACCCTAATTTGCTGTAGGTATTTGAAGGCCTCTCGATGACATTGTCACTGCCTGGAGTGCACAGATTTCATCTAAGAAGTTCACTTCCGTTCTCCTAATGTGAGGTGGCCTATCTGTAGCAATATGGTTTTTATAAATTCATGGCCAGTCCTTGTATAATAGGCCAACTTGGGGTGTTACAATGATGGCCTTCAGGGTAGTCTGGGGCACGCACAGCAGATCTATAACCCAAAGTGAAACCCTGGGAGAGTTGAGGTGGAGAGAGGCTTTGCAAGCATTTAAAAATGCCTGTTTTTACATGAAGGTCAGAACAATATAAACTTATCCATCCTTAATTCTGGTCATGGTGGCACAGATGTGTAACTCAAGCACTCAAAAATGGAGGTGGAAAAATCATGAACTCCAGGCCAGCCTGGGCTATGTAGAAATATCAAGGCTTATATAAGCTGTACTTAATGAGATTTTGAATCCTCTCTCTCTCTCCACAAAAACAAAACAAAACAAACAAACAAACAAACAAAAAAAAACCAAGCCAACACAAATTAACAAAGAAAAACACCAAATTAGATGTTTTGTTTTCTCCTGCCCTTTGAATTCAGTTTTATACTAAGGGTCTAAGCAAAGCAATTAGAGAAGAAAGGAAATTAAGGCTATCCAAAATGGAACTAGAAGTAAAATCATCAATATTTGTAGATAACAAAATCACTTATGTAAAAACCATTGTCCACTAAAAGCTAGTTGGATAAACTTAATGAAACTGTAGGGCATTGCAAAAGTGAACTGCATTCCTATTGTATTTAATACAAACATTAAAATGAGAAAATTCCATTTAAAATAGAATATAAAAACCATGCACAATGATGTACTTTTGTGATGTCAGAGCCTGAGAGGTGGGGATGGAAGTTCTGGACCAGTGTTCTTGGGCTTCACAGTGAGTTCCAAGTCCATCCAAGATCAACACACTGGTTCCAACGCTTACACAGATGTTCTCCAGCAACATACTCAAACCAAAATAGATATTTAAAAGTGCATTCATGTCAACAACAGAAAGGACCAATGAGCAGTGGCTCATATATAACATCAGCTTACAAGCAATAGCATCCCCTCCAAAACAGACTGCAGGGGCAACAACAGAACCCTCTTTGATGCCACATTTCTGTCTTCTTTTGGGGAGGAATGTCTGTCTATCCTGACAGTTCCTATTTCCTCGCATCATATTTTCTTTCCTTTTGTTCTACAGATAAAAGACAACAGAAAATGGCAGAAAGCAAATATGTGGCTCAATGGTTTGCAAGCACAAGGACCTGAGTTTGATTCCCTGAATCCATTTAAAAATGTACAGCATAGGGGCACATACTTGTAACTTGAGTACTGGGAAAGCAGAGGCAGGAAGATCACTGGGCCTGATTGGCCAATAAGAGACTTTGTCTCAGAAGAGGTGGGCAGCATGAGGATGACATCTGAAGCTGTCTTTGGCTCTCCCTCTCTCTGTCTCTCTCTGTCTCTGTCTCTCTCTCTCTTATGAGCCCAGAGACACTTGTATATACACTCTTCCCTCATAACTAAAAAGAGGTGAGCTCAGTATTTTTTTGTTTCTGCACTGGTGAAACACTAACAGCTGTTGGCATCCATCACAATGAGGTATCTTGATTCAATGGGGCTTAAAAAAAATAACTATTTCACAATTGCCAGTTCTAATCAGGAGCCATTTCTTCTCCCATTTATTTGTCACCCACAGTTTGTATAAAACTACCAGATTCTCTTTGAGCACACCTTAACTGACCTCCTGTCTTCTATGATAGCTATGGCTAAACTAGCAGTAAGTTTTAGATCCTATGTAATTTAAGTCCTAGCCAGCACTTTCCAGAGACATTACTTCCTTTGCCTCAACATGCCACATTTTCTGACCTTTATTCTACTTTCCTGAAGGCATGTCTTCATCTCTTTTGCATTTTCCTTCACTGCTCGTTTTTGAGAAGCTCACTCTCCCAAATTTACTACAGCAACTCCATGTCTCCCTGGAATGCCAGACCAGGGGGCTCTGTGGTATCAGTGATATCATTATTTCAGATTTAGCATTCTATTTCCCAACCCACATCTTATTGCTCTCTTTCTCAGCAATTCATCTTCAGCTGTTCTCTTCCCTGCACAGTTTCAAAACGTTCCTTAATCTGATAATATCTCACCTTCACAGTCGTGTGTTTTTTATTTCTTTAGCCCAGTCCTGAATTTCTCCTTTAGCAAATATAAGGTAGAAAGTTAGGCACGTCACATTGATGCCTGCCATCAAGAAGAAGATTTTATGCCAAGCATTTTCCGGATCCTGAGAGATTAAAATGCAAAGTGTAAGTGACTGATCTTGATTTTGTGTTTTATAACATTTAAAATATAGTATCAAAATAATATGTAGACTCAATACAGATCACTTAAGCATTCAAAACACTTACAAATAACCAAGAAAGTCATCATTTCACTCAAGTAATTGCTTTTATTTACTTATTATTATTATTTTATTATTATTATTATTATTATTATTATTATTATTTGAGACAGGTTTCTTGTGTGGGCATGTCTTTCCTAGAACTTATTCTGTTGACCAGGCTGGTCTTGAATTCAGAGATCCACCTGCCTCTGCCTCTGAAGTGCTGGGATTAAAGGGATGCCCCACTACCAACATATATACCAGTTTCTTATAAATAAAAAATGCATCACTTTTCTCATAATTCATTATTCCAAAACTCCCTGTCTCTTTCAAGATATCTCATCCAGACAACAGTGTATTGTATCAGATAAGCAAGTGTGTTTTCAAGTGCAGTGAGCAGATTTAACCCATTTCTATGCACTATACCTATTAACTTTCCCATTCTATGTACAGCAATTATTATTTTGCTACAATGCCTCTAATGTCATTTTGTATTTCTCATGGCAGTGTTCCAATACATTTAAGAGAAAACATTCCAGGTTTTGTTCTTCAAGGCCTTCCCTAGTGTTGGATGTGGTGGCGCACACGTATTGTCTCAACATTCAGGAGGCAGGGGCAGAGGCAGGAGGAGAGATGCATAGTGAGTTCCAGATCATCCAGTCTTACACAGCGAAGTCCTGTCTCAAACAAGAGTCCAGATCCCCTCAATTATTCTTAGCCCTTGGTGATATATATATATATATACATATATATATATATATATATCACCATTTCCACAAAAATAATGTAAAGTTTTGATTGGGATTATATGGAACCAGCAGATTTTATAACAGAATTTGAAGGCATTTTATAATTTCAAGTCTTTTAAAATAAGAAAATGGTGTATCTTGCCATTTATGAGATTTTTTTTAAAATTCTGTAAAAACTGTCTCCTGATTTCTCCACAGATACATAAATCATTCATTAAATATATTCTTACACATTTTATTTTAGGGCTATAAATGATATATAAAACTATTTTCATGCTGTTTATTCAGATATTTAGAAAATAATTTGTAGCTGCATGGTGGTGTACACTTTTAATTCCAGCCTTCAGGAAGCAGAGACACATAGAGTTCTATGAGTTTGAGGCCAGTCTCATCTATAAAACGAGTTCTGGGACAGACAAGATAAAATGCTGTGTTTATCAAGGTCTCTGCCTTTCATGTACTCTGAAGAGCACCCCTAAAAGCAGAAGTCCTTTTCCCAAGAGAAAAAAATTCTTTGAGTTTCTGTTTCTTGCAGACACTGCCTGCTACTGCCTCTGTATCTTCAACTCGTTCAAGTTTCAAAGAAGACTCACCTTCTAGTTTTCAGTCATGACAACTGTTTCCATAAAAAAAAAATAATAACAAGTGGTGTCTAGATCATGTCAGGGAAATCCACAGATACAGCTGACCCAAGCTCATGGGAGCTCACAGACACTGCATGGGGCCAACCTAGGCCCTCTGCATGTGTGTGACAGCTGTGTAGCTTGCTCTGTTTGTGGGACCCTTAGCAGTGGGACCAGTATCTGTCCCTGGATCCTGAGTTGGCTTCTTGAAATCTATCCCCGGTGATGGGATGCCTTGCTCAACCTTGATGCAGTGGGGAAGAGCTTGGTCTTGCCTCAACTTGATATGCTATGTTTTGTTAACTCCCATAGGAGACCTTATCCTTTCGAGGAGTGGATGGTGTAGTGGGGGGCATAGAAAGGAGATGAGAGAAGGGAATAAAAGGAGATGAGGGAGGAGAAACTGTGGTTGGCATGTAAAACAAATATTAAAAATTAAAAAAAAGATAATTGCCTCAAACCCACTCCCATTGATGAAGTAGAGTCCTTAAAGCTTCCTTTTGTTCAGATTAAGTCTAATATTTCTAACTTTAATTTTTATATTGTTGACTATAAAGGGGTAAATTGGATTCCTTGTCATATTTCTTACATCTTCAGTCTCTTCTTTTACTTTTAAAATGCGCATTGCTTCCAGTATCTTTGAGCCTCTAATTCTAAGTTTGTTTGTTTATTTTCACATTTCTTCAAGTGTTTTGTGTGTGTTTTTTTTTTCTTTTCAATTTTGAGCCCTATTTACTAAACTCCCGTGGAACATGGATTCAGGATATTTCTCTAGAAAAATTTAATTTGTTCCAACCAGGCAGCTAAGGTCTTGAAAAGCAATTTTTCTCATGTGACATTTAGAAGAAAAAAGATTTAGTGGGGCTGGAAAGAGAGTTCAGAGGTTGAGAGCACTATCTGCTTTTCCAGAGGACTGGGATTATCTATTTCTAGCACCCACATGGTGTCCAACAATGGACTGTCTCTCTAGTTCTAGAGGAAATGATGTTCTTTTCCAGATTCTAAGAGTATCAGGTATGCACATGACAGACATGCATTAAAAAAACCACGTATTACATAAAATAAAAACAATAAAAAAATTGAGGGAGAAACAAGATTTGAATATGGACTTCAACCTTTTGTTTGTTTATTGTTTTACATGCTCAGTGGATGTTTTATTCAGTGTTTCTGTTTCCTCACACTGAGGCAAAGGCAGACAAGATTCCTTCCTGGGTAGAGACAACTTTGCAAAGATCTAGGGTTACATTTCCTCACACCTTTCAGAAGTTAGCAAAAGAGTTTGCTTGGTTGACAATAATTGGTAATCAGCTCAGGGTATTCAAGATATGCAGCAGATGAGCAGAAGAGCTGGCTCTTATGCTCAGAAAGAGGACTCATCTAGGCTGCCTTGATTTCCCTTCTCCAGTGAGGTCAGCGTTCCTCTTAGGGAGTTTCCATGGTACTGTCTGTGACTTCAGACTTTATGACACCATAAATATGTGAAGCAGGATTTTGGGAAGCTCCTCTATGGGAACCATGATGTATGCTGACCACCTCACCCTGACCCATGCTGAGTGGTGGGTTGCAGAAATCTCCAGCACGACTTCTCACCTGGGGAGCTTTCCTCCAAATGAAGCAGTTTAGGAGCTAGTAAAATTGATAGGGGTGGGGATGGGAGAGATAAGGACTCTTGTAATCTATACTGTGGACAGTATCTTTGCCTTCCATAAGGTAGAAAGAGCTCTGCATGTGCGTGTCATCAACACTGCACACCCTGCTAGCTAGCATTTGTCTGTTCTGGAGTTAATGCTCCAGCCCAGGTGAAAGAAGGCAGGGTTGAGCAGACACTAGTTAGACTCGGTATATCAAGAAAAGACTGGTCTCAGACTCCTAGAGAATGAGGGGAAATTGCAAATCACAACACCCAAAGGAACGTGGACACAGCAAGTCTCAGAAATGTTGCTGATCACCTAACCAGGAGGGCAAGACCGACCTCTAGAATGATTAACCGCTCCCCTTAAACCAGCTGGCTTCTCAACTCATTGAATCAAACACTTCGAATCAAGTGCCACAGGAAGGTGTCATTTCTGCCTCTGCTCACAGCTTTCGTGGCAGCAGTGAGCATGACCTTCGATATTCTGGATGCAAAGTGAGGGCTTAAGCCAGCACACCCATCCTGGCTCTGCTCTTTTGGAATGTTTGCCCGTTGATCTACTGTAGCCAGTGGCCCTGTGATCATTCACCTCCCTGGAATCAATTTTTCTGAATTTCAAAAATGGTCTTTTACTTTTTTTTCCCAAGAGGAGGCAAGGGTTTTAAAACCGTTGTTATTTGTGTGTATCACAGGTTACGTGCTTGCGGGCATGCACACGTGCCCGCACGAGTATGTGCCGCAGCCTGAATGTGGAGGTCATGTGGAGTGTTTGTGGAGTCACTTTTCTCTTTCCACCTTTAAGTGGGTCCCAGGGTTCTGACAAAGTTGTTAGGCTTGTACAGTAAGTGCTGTACTCTTGTACCCCCTAAGCTATCTTGCCAGCCTGAAGCACACATTTTAAGTAACTTTAAATTGGCAGTGTTTCAGTGGTGCCCATCAGGAGATCTGAAGTCATTCTGTGACAACTGCAGATACAGTGCCTGCCTCGGTGGAAGTGACAATGTCCTCCAACCTTTAGCGCCTTCCTCTGACAAAGCTCATCTTGTTACTTTCACTACTGTCACTCAGTCAAATCCTCTTTCAACAGCCCCTGTTCCCTGTTAAAACCAGAGACTCATTTCCTCTCAGATAATGAGAGTTCCCAACACCAACGGCTGACACAACGAGAAAGAATATATTGTCTGTAGGAGTGTAGTTAGACTCAGAGGACCACCTGCTGTTGGCATCTCCTCCAAGGTGTGTGTGTGTGTGTCTGTGTGTGTGAGACTTTCGCTATACATTTAATATCAAACAACAACAACAACAAAAACAACTATCATATCTTCATGCTACTTACCTGACTAAGGATCAACCCAGCTAGAGCTGAAGAAATTAGGCCTCCCAACATTCCAATTAAAGCTGTAACTGCTTTAAGAAACCCATAATATCTGTATGAAAAGGAAAGAGAACATGGATGGAAAGCGGTACAAGTGTTTCAGGCAAAGCCACTCCAATCCAATGAGGTTTGAAGGGGGAACTGCTGATACTATGAATACCCATTCCAATTGCTTAAGTTCATTAACTTGGCAGAAAGCATTCATGCATGGCAGCGATGTTCTCATTGTTCTACAGTGTCATAAAGGTTAACTTTAGCAGTAAAGAATTTATGATATTATGAAAATGGGCTCATGTTAGAGTGAAACTCAGCAGTATTTGAAACTTCCAAGTACAGCCAAGAAATGCAGAAGGTGTTAGGGGCTGCCCATAGGAACTGGATTGAGACTCGTGACTGAAGGGCTCTGTTCATTTGGTCTAATCACACAGACCCAGAGCCACTGACCTTAGGGATTGCTGCCTCTGATGAGGAAGTGAAAGACTGTTTATAAGCTGCTATGATTGGCTAGTCCTAGAGGTTCATATCAACCTAAGCAAGAAATGAGCAATAAAAGCCACAGAAAGTCAATAGACTAAGGAGAGGGCAAGTCCATCAGTCACAAAGAAGGAGTTAGTGATTAGTCAAGAGGAGTTGAGTTCAGGCCTGGGAGCCTTGGCCCTTCAGCCAGCATTAGAGGATCTGTGTTAGACAGTCTCACTAGTAGGAAAGTCTTCGAAATCTTTTATTCCTTTCCTTTGGTTTATGCTGTTTCATGTTGTCTTAACATGTTCAGTGTGGGAGGAGCATAGAGTTTGTCAGTTAACTATTCAGCCTCTGTTCAGGGAAGGGTCACAGATGAACCCTAAACACGGTGAGGTTCCACATGAAAATTTTGAGTTGACTTTTGGGAGAGATGGATAGTGCATCTTACTAGGATACTATCCTTTGTCTACCTCTATTGTGAAGGCTATTTAAGCTTGTGAACAGTCACAGGGATTGGTGGTGGCAGGGACCAGTGACTGGCCTCAGTTTCTAGAGTTCACCTATTTGCTGTAGCAACAGAACCCTTGGGTGGAATTGGAGCCAATTATGACTTTTCTAGCCCTTGTTACTTTTGTCTTCTGAGCTCCATAAAAATACTAGGAGATGTGTTTTTATACACACATACATGCATGCACATAAATAAATAAAGGCATATTATGAGTTTGAACAAAAGTAGAAGCCTAATATATTTATATTTACCATTATGAAGTACATCTTAAATTTTCTAGTCATGTTTTTTTGAACTAAAGTATATTTTATCTAATATTGTGATAATAATGCTAGCCTTTGTTTTATTCCATTGATTTTTGAATCCTTTCATTTAATCAGTGTCCCTTCTTGGAAATAAAGCAGTATTTCCTTGTAGATTTAATTTAATCTGTGCAAAAAATCAGGAAGTTGGAAAAGGACTTAACCTCATAGTCCCAGCATGTGGGAGGCTAAGGCAGAGTTAGGACTCTTCCTCTGAAAATGTTAGGACATGTACTCTGAAATGCATTATACAACCACAAGATGGAGCACCTCCCTGACATAGGCCGGGCAGGTGAGAGCTTTGTCCTGCATCTCACATCCCTCAGTCCTCTAATAGTGGGGATTTCATGCAGGAAAGCAAGAGAACTGCTTTGACGTAAGTCTTGCTTTAATGTAAGTCAGCCTTGCAGAAAGACATATTTAGGTGTGGATCCTCATTGCCTCCATTCTTTGTTTTCCCACCGATAGTATATGGTTAAGATTATTATAGTCATACCAGGTCATGATAGACACATAAGATATAATTAATATAATAATTAATTATGATTTTACAGATATACTAGTTTGTAGATACAGTCTTAATTTTTTAAGTGAATACATTTTAATTGACTTTCCACACTTGATCAATTGCTGAGAAGCAATTGATGTTACCCATACTTTATCAAATATTTTTGTGTCTTTATATAATTCTAGAATACTTGCTGGGAATTTTGTTTATTCATTTATTTATTATGTATACAGCGTTCTGCCTGCACATATTCCTGCAGGCCAGAAGAGGGCACTTGATTTCATTACAGATGGTTGTGAGCCACCATGTGGTTTCTGGGAATTGAACTCAGGACCTAAGGAAGAGTAGCCAGTGCTCTTAACCACTGAGCCATTAAATACAAGTCTTGAAACTAAATAAATGAGATGGATACATTTGTTCCTTTCTAGGGGGCATATTTTTTGTGGACCTGGTAGGTGTCGGGCAAAAGGGACTGCCAAAGAAACCCACTCTGACCCTAAACCAGAGCCAGTGAAAGAAACCCATCCTGGCTCTGAACCAGAGCCAAAGAAACACTCTTTGTCCCTGGAACCAGAGCCAGTGAAAGACACACACCCTGAAACTAGAGCCAAAAGGCTAAAAAGGGCCAGTAAAGAAATGCACTTTGGCCCTGAAGACAGAGCCAAATCTGCCCATGACCAACTGATAAGGAAACCAACTAATCCCAGAGCAGGAAAACTAACCAAACCCTGGTCACAAAACCTGAGCACTAAATCTAGTCAATCTGAGCTTGTCCAAGCTCAAGGGGATGGAAATCTGATCTATCCCTCCTTGAAAAATCTTCTTCCTAGAAAAGCTCTACCCTTAAGAAGCCCTATATAAGCCCCTCTGCCTGTTCAGTTAGCAACTGTCTTTCTCCACCCTGGTAGAGGCAGCTAACCTCCTGGATTTTTTCTTCCCAAATAAATCTATTGAAATAGGAGTTTTGGGTGAAGATCTTTTGAGTCACAGAGCTGAATCTCTGTTGAGAAACCTAATTTAGGTGAGCAGCACAGACAGACGTAACAACTTTGAGCCAGAACAGGTTGCTACATTTCTGCAGGGATTTACCCCTTAGCTTAGAGAAGCAGACCTAACAATTTGGGGCAGAGCTGTGAAGAAGGGAATGCCTCTGCTGGGAAACTCCATAGAGGAGCAGAACAATGTTCAGTTGTAATGACTGTCCCTTGGACAGGAACAGGATTGCCACATCCTGCTGGGAGATCATTCCCAGCATCAGATATAGCCTGACTTCTGACAAATCAGTGTACCTTCCCCTCCAGAGCTGGAACACTCGCAGTGAGCAAGGTTCTTTTCAAATCATTGATAATCATCCTTTTGGCTAACTCGACTAGAGGTACTTTGGATAATCCTGTTAATATTTTGCCTGAGTCTTCCAAGGAGAGGAGTATTAGTCTCAAACTACAGTGTGAGTGTCATCTGTTACATGGTGTGAATTACAAAGCTGTTTCTGTTAGTCACAGTAATCTCTCAAAGAACATCTGGTAATAAAAAGCAGTTTCTACACCAAACAAGTATGACCTAAAATCCTAGGTAGGATCCTGTTGTGGTTTGTTTGTATGTTCTAGAGGTTTGGTTGCCAGGGGTTTGGTTGCCAAGAAGTTGGTTGCCAAGGGCTTGGTTGCTAGGCTGGTACTACAGGAGGTGATGGAAGGGTGTGACCTATTGGAAGGTCTTTAGTTATTGAGGAATATGCCCTCAAAGGAAATGTAGCCCTTCTGTTCCTGGCCCTTCTTTTATGTTCCAGATGCGAAGATGAGCAGTTTTGCTTCACAAGCACTCCTGACACAATGTTCTACCTCCACACAGACCCAAAGTAATGAAGCTAACCCATAAAGGACTAAAGTCTCCCAGACTGTGACCCGAAATTAACTTTTTCCCATTATAGATAGGTTAACTTTAGGTATTTTTATAGTAACATAAAGTTGACTAAAAAATCCAAACTAGTAGTCATAATTTAAAAATTAAGCATTTGAATGTAAATCTCCTTGGTAGTAAATAAGTATAGGTTATTGTGAAATTAGTATCAGAACTTGCACATGATAGCAGGAATGATGAAGTAGAGAACCCCGATGACATTTGAACGTGCCAAAGCACTACTATGCACATTTTATCTCTGCTAAATTATTCAGGACTCTTTATTTTATTATTTCATCTTCTCTGTGTGTGTCACAGATTCTCTATAGCTCAGGTGGTCTCAGTATTGCACTCCTCTTTTTCTGCCTCTTGAGTGCTGGGTCATAACTATGTGCCAAATATGGTCCCTTAGTACCCTTAACAGCTCATGAGCTGAGCATCCTCCTTTTACCCTGTTTATAGAGGAAAATGCCAACACAAAGATTTGTTTGTGGCAATATAGAACAATAATCTGATAATATAACTCAAAAATAGGCACTTTGCTGTCTCTGGATAATCTTAATAGATTAGTAACAGGTACACAGTCTATATTTATTCATATTTGACTTGAACAGATTTTTTTTCCTGCTACTCTTCTGCCTGTGAGTGTCATAACATTTGAAATCCCAATGTGCCCTGAAATCAGGATTCAAGACAGAAAAAGGGAGGCTTTTTTATATTTTTTCCCTTTTCTTTCTTGGGCATTTTGAGATAGGGTCTTATATAGCCCAGGGTGGCCTGAAATTTGCAATGTAGCTGAGACTGATCTTGAATTCCTGCTCCTCCTGCCTACACCTCTAGAACTGGAATTAGAGTATGTATGGTCATACCAGAAATAATGATATTTTAAAATTATTATTTAATAACAAACAAAAGAAAATTATAATAATCCCATTTTAAAAGAACTAGGGAAAAAATAGTTAATAATGAATTTAACCAAGGAGTGGAATGACCTATACTCTAAATCTATAATGAATAAATTTAACCAAGGAGTAGAATGGTCTGTACTCTAAATCTATAAAAAAATAAATGTAACCAAGTAATGGAATGACCTTTACTCTAAATCTATAGGGCACTGATGAATTGAAGACATGCAGAGGAGAATGACATCCCAGGCTTATTGATCAGAAGAATTAAAATTATTAAAAGATCTCTTTCTTAATGTTATCTAAACACTCTGTTCATGCCTTGTGAAAGTCCAAATGACACTTTTCACGGAACTAGAAAGCAAACTGTTAAAATATATATGGCCTCACAAAATTAGACAAAGCCATCCCAAGGACAAAGAACAAAGCAGGAGGTCTCATACTACTTGTCTTCAAAAAATACCTCAAAGGCATGGCAACCAAAGGGGCCTGGGCTGACATCAAAGTGAACACATCGACCAACGAAGCAAAACAGAGGGTGAAGAACCCAAACCTAGGTATTTATGGCAGTCTTAGTTTTTTTTTTTTAACAAAACTGCTAAGAACAGAAAAATGGAGAAAATAGTATTGGAACCTTTGTGTATCTACTTACAGAAGAAAACAGAATTGTGCCTTTCTTTCAGACAATATATAGTGATGAATTCAAAAGTAATTGAAGGCCTGAAACTATAAAGCCATGAGAAAGAAGCACTGTGGGAAACTCTGTGGTGATATGTTATTTATGATTTATTAAAGCTTTCCTGTGGGTTCAGAATGTAAACTAGCTACAAGCCATAGAGGTCAGACAGTGGTGATACACACCTTTAATCCCAGCAGCCATACTAGCTAGCCAGGCAGTGGGGGCACACACCTTTAATCCCAGAACTTGGAAGACAGGCAGATGGATCTCTGTTAGTTCAAGGCCACCTTCGCCTATACAAGAGTGAAGAGTAACAGAACTCACACCTTTGATCCCAGCTCTTAGGATCACATGCCTTTAATCCCAGCACTAGGGAGGCATAAAAGGAAGAAGCAAAGGGTCTCATGTGGAGATTTAGTTTCCAGACAGGGAGAACTATTGTCCCTGAAGGTTGATGGAGAGAGCATTGCACTCTGAGGATTTCTGGAATCAGGATCACCCGTTCAGTCTAAGGTAGAGATAAGAGATGGTGGCTGGCTGCTTTGATTATCTGACCATAAGCTTGAACCCCAGTATCTGTCTCTGGGTTTTTATTTTTCATTGTCAAAAACTCCAAGACTTTGGCTTAGACAATAATATTTTTTTATATGACTGAAAAAACCTCAAGCAACAAAAGCAACAGAAGAATGCAATTACTTCAAACTACAAGCTTTCTATAAAGTGAGGGAAACAATCAGTGGAGTGAAAAACCAACCTATGCAATGGGAAAAAAATGTAAAGCATACATTTGACAGGGATTATCATCAGAAATACATCAGAAACTCAACTCACTATCAACCTAAAGGAGAATATATCATTGAGTGAAATAGGCAGGGCCACACACAAATGGCATGCGATATCATTAACATGTGGAATATAAAAAGTTGAATTCATAAAAGTAGAGAATAGAAAGAGTCTTATCAGAGTCCAGGGGTGAAGGGAGTTGTTTAGGAAAATGCTGCCTGAAAGACACAAAATGTCAATGAGAATGAATAAGTTCAAGAGATCCATCAAACAACATAGTGATTGCCATTAGCAGCAATGTGCTGTATTCTTGAAGACAGCTACTATGATAGATTTTAAGAATTCTCATTACAAAAAAATTAGCTACACGAGTAATATATATGTTACTTAACTCTATTAAATCATCCTACAATGCATCCACTTCAAAACATCAGGCTGTATACAATAAATGCATGCACTTTTGTTTATTAATGCAAAAATAAATACATTTTAAGAGAGCCCTACCTGGGAGCAATATCCAAAGCATTGATGAGTGGTCCGCAGAAGGAAAAGCTGAGTGTTGAATTGGCAAGTGTCAGGAAAATGATGATGCTGTAGAAGCTGGAGCTCAAGAAGAACAGGCACATGGTGAAGATCACAGGACAGAGAATCCCTGCAAAAAGATTCAGACCATACAGTTAGGTGCTTCTGAACACAGGGTGGAAGGAGTCCCCACGTGTTTGTCCTGCCCTGGCTGTTCCTTACCTAGTGTGGTGAAGAGTTTTCGGATGTTAACTATGCTGAAAATCTTCCTGGACAGGAAGAAGTCTGACAGCTGACCTGATACGATACCGCAGATGTAGGCAAGCAGATAGGAGAGGCTAGACAGCAGTCCATTCTGAGGAAGAAACATCATTCTGAGTGTATATGATGGAGAAGCATCCCTGTACAGTGTTTTCAGTGAAATTCAGTAACTGATGTGTACTTGGGACTTGAAGATGTGACTAGTGTTATAGTTCTTGTCTGGTATGCACAAGGTATTGGGTTCATTCCCCAGTCCCATCTAATTAAATGTGTACTGTGATACAGGAAACCATCCAGGTACATGCAGCACTAGAACTGTGTTTAGGAACACAAGTTCCAATGAAAGAGAAGCATAGTTTTGAGGTTGGTAAGAATTGTCGCCATCCTCTACAGATTTTTGTTCTTAGTGTCATACGACCTGGGAAACTGCAAGAGAAGACTGCTGAGATCAGGAAGTGTCAGCAGGAAAATGATAGAGGATACAGATGATACTGATAATTCGTGACAGACAATTGCACATTTGCTCTAATTGGCCATGGTGAAGTCTAGAAATGACTCCATGGTTCCATTAAGATAAAATTGAATCAATGAGAGCTTGTATGACCACAATACTATGCTGGCAACTAGCTGAGGCAGTAAGTCCACTGAAGAATGTTTCCCAAGTTGGAAGCCCAGACACCATTTCTAAGGAAGTCTTTTCTGGTTACGTTGATAGCATATGATAAGAAGTTCCAAGCACAACTGACTCCCAGTGTCAGATGAGCAATGTGAATCCTTTAAGAGTAAGACCCTATTCCAGGAACAGTGGTTTGACAAGATCTGGGAACAGTGGCAGGGGCTGGCTCAGTAAATTTCACATTAGGACTCACTCCATTCACTGAAGAATGTCAAGCTATCTCCTTCCTCTCCTCCTCCTTTTCCTTCTCCTCCTCCTTCTAGGTAAAAACATCACACTGTGGACCAGGTTAGCCTCAAAGTTAAAGCGATCTGCCTGCTTCAGCTTCCTACTTGCTAAGATGGCAGGCAGGCATTCACATATAAGGCATATATTGAAGGGAACTGGGGGACTGTGGAAATGTACCTGCATGTGTGTTGGTGGTAGAATTGCAGACATTGTATTTATGCCAACACCCTTTGTCTGGGCAGAGTTCCCATATAGGAAAGCATGCATCTCCAGGTAGAGAACAATGGCCCGTGTAGGAAGCAGGCAAAGACTGAGTCTATAGTCACAAGACACAGAGAAATAAAGAGAGAGTCCATGAGAAAAGATGGTACACTCACCTCTCTAATATTAACATGAAGCATGGTGTTGATAAATGTTGGAGTATATGTAACCAGGAGGCTGTTGGTCCATATGAAAGCAAAGCTATTGATGATAATAGCCCAGAGTGGAAGAGACTTAAGCATAGCTTTCATTGGCAGAGATTGTCTGCGAGAACTGACCTGGGAAAGAGATCAAGAAACATTCTAAATGAGGATCATCTGGAATGTGTTTTCTTTGGATCAGAATCTAGAAGAGCTGGGTGTTCTACCTGCTGGGTAAGAGAGGATGTGATGTAGTCCTTCTCAATCCTGCTCATATATGGGTGGTCGTTGGGGTCATCATAGAACAGAAGGAACCAGGAAAGACTCAGAACACAGCCAAGAATACCTATCAGAGAATCACATGTTACAAGGAAGTTCTACCTAGAGTTTTGGATTAGGCACATTTCAGAGCATCAGTCTGAGAACCTACGTGGTCTCTTTCTTCTCTGAGCCCCTCTGAGGCTTACATTTTGACAGTCTTTGTCACCTCTGTTGGCCCTTGATATGGAGTGAATTTTACTGAGATGCTTAGGTCAGTGAGCCCTTTGTTCTGTCCTGATCCAGTGAGTGGACATCCACTCACTTAGGATTCCCTAATATTGGACCTTTATATTTTTAGATTTGTAATGGCTCCCTACCTCAAGAGCATGTCATGCTGAGCTTTCACAGAGCTAGACAGCTACACAATTTTAACCACCACTGCAAGAGTAGACAGGTTTCCCTATTCTGACTCTGCCTTTAGCACACTAGGGGATTAGGCATTTTCTGTAGCCTTCTGACACTCAGTTAGCCATAGATGGCTTGAAAAAATATCAACAGCCCCCCTACTTTCTATTGAATTTGGCCAATAGAAAGCCTGGGAAGGGATGAGAGGGAGAGAGTGAGTGAGAACAAAGTATCTTTTCAAACCTGCCACATCTCCCTCCTAGAGTTACCTCCTTATATATGTTCCTTTGTGAATAAAGAGAGGCATTCCTCAGGCATCCAGTCTATGGGACTTTTTGTCTATGGGACAGCTCTGGTTCACTGCTTTCTTGGGCTCGAGGGAAGGGTAGTAGTAGTAGCTCTTGTAACCTAACTTCATATTATGACATTGTCCCTATAAATTTACAGTCTGTCTTTCAAAGTAATTGCTTGGTAAATATGGAGGTTTGAAAGAGAATGGCCCCCATAGAGTCATGTGTTTGAATGTTTGGTCTTCAGTTGGTAGAACTGTTTGGGAAGGAAGGCCTTGTTGGAGGAAATGTGTCATTGGGAGCAGACTTTGTGGTTTCAAAAGCCCACACCATACCTCACCCCACCCCTGTCTATGTCTCTCTCTCTGCCTCCTGGATGCTCCCCACCATGACAATCACGAACTTGGCCTTGCATACTGTAATCAGACCCCCAAATTAAATGCTTTTTAAATAAGTTGCCTTGGTCATGATGTCTTATCTCAGCAATAGAAAAGAATGAGACAATAAAAAAAGTAAAATATTAAAAATCCCAAGTTTGCCATAGTTGTGACTTTGAGCAATGTGACTTGAATATAAAATATCTGACTTGAGAATAAAATGTCCAAGAGGCTCTTGTGTTGGGACACTTGGTCCCCAAATGGTGGCACAGGAGTGAAAGGCTGTGGAACCTTGGGACATGGAGGGAGTGTTACTGGAGGAAGTTAGTCACTAGGGGGCAGACACCATAGCGTGAATCCAACAGTGATTGTATAATTCACTTGGCAACATCTGTTCTTTATTCTGATTACTTACTCCAATTTGTGAACTATATTTTCTCCTAAAGATGTTACTATGTTTGCTTATGGCCTAGCACTACAGGTATGGATTATATATAACTTGTCATATGACCTTTTAGAAATCAGTATAGGTAAAATTATGATAGTCTGTTCTCTCAGAGAATTTTTTTTACATAATATATACCAAACTGTAACATGTAGTTATGTAAAGTGTGCAGGAAATTATGAACTGCATTTCTGATCATCAGCCTCTTGAATTCTGATTTCTCTTTCCCTTAGTGAAGACTGTGGGCTGTTTATTATTATTGCTATTACAACCCCAAGAGTTTCCCCTCTCCTCCTCCCAGTCCCTCTCCACCACCTCTCTCTGTATCCTCCCCCCCCCCGCTTCAGGTTTATTTTAATAGGGATTTAATATAAATTGTTGTATTATATTTATATTCTTGTGTATTCTTAAGTTTTGATGCCTTACTGAGGTTTTATTTAAAAAAGTATATACTCACCAAAAATGTAGAAAACCATAGGCCAGCCCAGAAAATCACAGATGAATCCACTCACAAGCAGGACAATAAATGGTCCCATTGCAAACCCTAATCAAAGAGTACAGAGAACATCCCTGTTAACTTAGCAAAGGCACCTGAAAATGCAGCCAATAAACCTCTGTGTTGTGATGAACAGTCTCCATGAAAGAAGTTCATGTTTCCAATGCTCAGAAGGAACAGAGAAAGTCTCTCTCTTCTCTCCTTTGCAGTTGTTTGAGGCAAGAACACTTTTCATTCTAAAACGTGTGTGTGTGTGTGTGTGTGTGTGTGTGTGTGTCCATGTGTATTCATTTGGAGGCCAAAGGTTTAAGTCCAGTGTTTTTTTTTTTGTTGTTGTTGTTGTTTTTTCTTGATCTCTGTACTGAGACTTTTCAATGAACTTAAAACTCACTCTTTCAGTGGGGCTGGCTGGTCAGTGAGCCTTTGGCCTACATCTGTCTCTGGGTCAACTGTGCTGGGTGTGTGCTCCCATACCTGTTATTTTACATGGGTGCCAGGGTTCCCATGCTTGTGTGGCAAACATTTTATCCACTGAGTTGCATCTTCCCCTTTAATTAAAACAATAATATTGCAGGGGATATTTCTAAGCCCCTAAAATTTCAGAGCACAGGTTTCTAGTGGCTCTTAGAAGGACATGCCACAAGGAGATAAAAGCAGGACTTAACCATTCTTAGCTTAAGTATTTACCTGATAGAGTCGTAGAAGTAAGTCGGCCCCTTTCCAAGGGAGGTGCCCATTTGACCCATATTTCATGCTGGCCCGTTGACACTATCCCCTGAAATGAAAAGATGAGGACTTTTGAACTCTAACACTCTGAATCCAAGTTCTTTGTCTGTTTTAACCATGTCTTAATACCTGTGCTATTCCCTGGAGTATTCGACACACAATGACCAAAGCTGCTCCAACTTTTGCTGCTTGTGGGATAAGCAGGGATAGCGCAGAGCTGAGGAGCAATGAGGACCCAATTATTCTCTTCATTGGGTATCTTCCAGCTAGGTACCCAACAGGAAGTTGAACCATAATCATACCAAAGAAGATAGAACTGAGAATAAGCCCTTGAATATCAAGGCTCCAGGAATACACAGGATTCTAAAAGAAAGAAAGAAAGAAAGGGACACATGTCTAAGGACTCTGCATTGGAGATAAAATCTGGTGTTCATGGGTTTCAGGAATGTGGTTTTGCTGGTCAGTCTGTGTAAAGTAGTTCCCCTTCTTCCTAAAGTGTCTGTTGTTGTTGTCGTTGTTTTCTCAAGATAACTTTATTATCATATAATGTCATTTTTACATATGTATTTACATTTAATCATTGATAGTTTTAATTATAGGTTAAGTATCTCTTGTCTGAAATGCTTGGGACCAGAAGTGTGTCCAATTCTTTTGGATAATGGAGATATTTCAGCAGGGATGAGATACCTGCTTTGTACCCATAGTTAGGAAGGAGAAATGAATGCTGATTCTCAGCCTGTTTTCTCTTTTTATTCATACTAACATCCCAGCACACTGAATGCTGTCATCTACATTAGAGTGAGTTGCCCCACCTCAGTTAACACAATCTAGAAACTCCCTCACAGACATGTCCAGAGGCATGTCTCCTAGGTGATCCTAGATCCTGTCAAGTTACAATCAATATTAACCATATCTTTCATTTTCTATGTACGGCTTTTCCTTCCTTCCTTCCTTCCTTCCTTCCTTCCTTCCTTCCTTCCTTTCTTTTTTCTTTTTTCTTTTTTCTTTTTTTGCCCCCATCTCTTTTCCAAAGTTCTTATCTAAAGAAGTGCTAACTCTTGGGTTTTGCTATTCTTTAACTTGAAGTCCTAGAACAAGCCCTTCCAAAATGTCGAATTATTCTTTTTTCTTATTAAAAGGTTTCTTTATGTATTTTAGGTGTTTTATCTGCATGTGTGTCTGCACACCAGAAGAGGGTATCAGATCCCACAGGATAACAGGCATTGACTGTTGTGAGCAGCCATGTGGGTGCTGGGAATTGAACCTGATCAGGACTCTTGGAACAACAGTTAGTGCTCTTAACAGCTGAGCCATCTCTCCAGTCTTTGACCTTTTCTGTAATCACAGAATATGCTCATTTAGGTTCTTACTCAGACTAAAACTTGGGTTTCATTTTCTAACTATTATTATCTTACAAATACTATATGGCCTCTGTAGAAACTAGCTAACAAAGTAAAGCTTTAAACGTATGCTTTATACTTTCAGTGTACCTTTACATCATCCAGTATCTCCACTGCAGATCCGTTAGGCAGATGGGGTGGTTTGGTGCTGTTCACCATAGCTACCATGGTGAGGTTCAGGCACACTCTCTGGGCCGTGATGACAATATTACAGAAGTGCAAAAGGATAGCCAGTCCATATCGGAAGGAACAGAGCCCTGGAACTGGGATGTAGAAAAGAATACCTCAATTAGTAATGCAATCAAAGTAAAACTTCTGCTATTTGGAACACTATATATCCCAGGTAGTAACTTGTGAAAACATCCTTTTAGAAATTACCATATAATACTAAGACGTGGGACTCATTTAATAATCCTTATTACCTTAAGACATCATTCCAATTACAATGTCTGGGAATGTTAATACAGTTTGTAAATGCTTTGGTGCATGTCTATTATAAAGAAAGCTTGGGTTTTCTTTGGAAATAAGTCCCCTTAATATAATTAATGGTATTTTCTCTCAAAGAAATTGCTTCAAACTTCAAACTGATATGGCTACTCTAATTGAGAAATTTGTATTTTCACATTGCAAAAATTTTTTTCTTAAGAGAATAAGCTTGCTGAGAAAGCATCAAGCTACAGTAAAGAATGTAGTATTGGTAAATAACCAAGCACACCCTTCAGTGGAAGAAAGCAGGACTTCCAGAAACACATGTTCATCTATGAATCTATGACTAAATTGTGTGTGTGTGTTTGTGTGTGCTGCATGTCTGTACCTATGCTCAGATTGGGAGAAAGTGGTTACACATATGTGGAATCCAGAGGTCAATGTTGAGTGTCTTCCTCTATTGCTCTCCACCTTATCTGCCTTAGTTTTTAAGTAAGCAACTCTCATGGAACCTGGGCCACTCTGGTTAGGCCAGACTGTCTGGAAAACACACCTCAAGAATCTATCCTCTTCCCAATACCAGAATGACAGACACATATCACCACACTTTATAGTAAGATATCCACCCCACCTGCACCTGTTGCACTGACCACGCCCACTGGGGGTGTGGGGACAGTGTGAGTGTCACCTGGTGGGACTAGGTCTGGGGTTCCGGACCCCAGCATGCTCTCTTACTTCCAAGTCAGGAGATAGAGAGCATCTGGAGGCACCCTTGAAACTGGAACCTGCAGTGGTTATCTGTTTCTGGTGTAAGTGATTCCCCCCCCCCACACGGAATAAACATCCGTCAGCCTATTGTTTCCCAGATTCTTACTTATCACGCTTTAACACCTTGCTTTTTATATGGGTACTGGGTTCTGAATTCAGGTCACTACTGTTCCAAATGCTTTCCTGACTGATCCATCACCCTAGCTTCTAAACATTTTGGGGTCAACGTACTAATGTAATTCAGTGAAGGAAAGTAATGTCTGCTTTGAAGAATAGCACTTATCCCAAGGAAAAAATAATACACTCGCATAAAAAGATTTGGAGAAAAATATTTGCATAAGTTTTATTCAGAATAACAGAATGTTTAGAAAGAGTGTGCATGCTGCATTTAGTAACATAAAGCATACTACTCAGAATTAAAAAGGAAGGAGGCATTGAAAGACTAAGTCACTTGGATTAATTTCAACAAAACATGCTAAGCTAAAGAACTAGTCACTAAAGACTGTCTACTGTAGGAATCTATTGTTATGAAGTCCCCTAACAGTAAAAAACAATTGACATGTCCTCTCATATATCCAAAACCAGCAGTCAGCATCTCCTCCATGCTGAGTTCATCTCACATCTTGCATCTATCTGACTGCTTCATCTGTGACCCCTAAACAGATTTAAAGGCTTGTGTGATTCAATCACTTTCCCTTGATAACTTCCTATTTAACTGGGAAACAGGTTGCATGTACCAGGGTTAGGATATCTTAGGAGTGATCTTAGAATTCTGCCAACTGTAGTCCACCATCCAACCCCTAAACAGTTATAGTCATCACACATGCAAAACATGGTCAACCCATCCAAAGCCCCTCCCCCTACTTTATTGTAATGTTGCCTTGAGCCATATCAAAAGGTTATGCCTCAACTTGAAAAATCTCACCATCTAAATCAGGCCCAGATGACCCTTATAGGAGTGATCCCCCAAGGGCAGTATCTCTCTGTGGGCTTATTGAAGAGGCAAATGTAAGTTCTTACTACTGTCACCATGAAATAATTGGACAGGCTTAGGCAAAACTACAAACTTTAAAAATCTAAAATAGAAAAAAGCCATGAGTCCACAATGGGTTTGAAGTTCAGCTGAACAAATACTGGGTTTAAAAGATGAATTTTTATCCTGGTTATGAAATAAAATGGTATAGAGTATGATCAAGTACATGCATTGTAAGGGTACATTTTGGTTGTCAATTTCATCCTATTGAAAAACTATGAGAAAAATGGTAACTTATACTTCTGGGTTTGTTGTGACAATGTTTCAGGAGATTGCTGGCATCTGGGTCTTTATTCAGAGTATTTTTTCCAGTAAGTCAATAGTGGATGGTACCGCTCATGCAGGCAAATCAACATAATGTCAGCAGTATAATCAACTCCTGTGATACCTCCTGAAAGAGGAAAACAACTGACTGACAACACCGGATTAGAAGATTGTCAGAAGTTACACATGGACACACCACTCACCAAGTCCCACATCTGTGCCTGTTGCTCAATCTCCCAGCAACAGAGACCGACATTAAGCCCACAGTAAGGCAGTTCCTATGGGTGATCAGCTAGCAAGCTAATAACAGATTACATTAGATAATTTTCTGCAATAGATTATATTAGATAATTGCCTGCATGGATGGGGCAGTGATTTTGTTTGTTGTTTGTTTTTAGACTTTATTATTATTATTATTATTATTATTATTATTATTATTTTACATGTCGATACCAGTTCCGTCTCCCTCTCTCCCTCCTTCCCTCCCTCCCTCTTACCCTCTCTCCCCCCTCACATGCATCCTGACCACCCTCCCCTCCCATTCCTCCACCCCCATTCCACAAGTAGGGCTATGCCATCCAGGTGGCGTCATGTAAATCTGTCAAGTCATTTGAAGTAGGGACTAGGACTTCTCTCCTGTCTCTAGGTTAAGGGAATATCCCTCCATGGGGATTGTGTCTGCAAGGTCCTTTTGTGCACCAGGAATACATCCTGGTTCCACTGTCTGAGGTCCCTTAGACTTCTCAGTCCTTCTAGCTGAGACCCATATTCAGGGGCTCTGAGTCAGTCCCATGCTGGATTATCATCTATCAGTCTGGGCTGGGGGCGTTAGCTCCACCTTGTTCAGGTCAGCTGTATTTCTGCAACCTGGTCTTGTCCTCTCTCTCTCTGCCTCTGGATTCTAGTTCGACTCAGTGTTTAGTTATGGGTGTTTGCTTCTGTTTCCAACAGGTACTAGATGAGGGCTCCATGATGGGGGATAAGTTAGTTGTTGATCTCATTATCAGGGAAGGGCATTTATGGTACACTTTCCACTGTTGCTCAAAATGTTAGTTGGAGACAGTCTTGTAGGTCTCTAGACCTTTCTTTAGGTTTAGTTTTCTCTTCAAACAAATAATGGCTCCCTCTTTTATGTTCTCTCTCTCTCTCTCTCTCTCTCTCTCTCTCTCTCTCTCTCTCTCGTCTTCTATTCCTACCCTGTCTCAATCTTCCTAGTTGCATATGCTTTCCTCCCCTCCCCTTCTCTTTCTTCTAGTTTTCCCTCCATTCACTGCACCCCCCCCCACTTCCCATGTGTTCTGAGGGACCTGTCCCTTCCCCCTTCTGTGAGGAACCTTATATGAATCTCTTAGAATACACCTTGTATCCTAGTTCCTCTGGTGGTGTGAATTATAGGCTGATGATCCTTTGCTCTAGGTCTAAAATCCATATATGAGCGAGTACATACCATCTTCCTCTTTTTGTGACTGGGTTACCTCATTCAGGATGGTTTCTTCAAGTGCCATCCACTTGCCTGCGAATTTCAAGATTCCATTATTTTTTCTTCAGAGTAGTATTCCTTTGTGTAGATGTGCCACATCTTCTTTATCCATTCTTCAGTTGAAGGGCATCTAGGTTGCTTCCAGGTTCTTGCTATTACAAATAATGCTTCTATGAACATAGTTGAGCACATGTCTTTGTTGCATGGATGTGGATCATTTGGGTATATGTAAGGAGTAAAGTTTTTCCTCCGCCGCTGGTCTGGTCCTGCCGCCGCCACACCAGCCCCAATTAACACAGAGACTCTTTATTAGATATAATGCTGTTGGCCAGGTACTAGTTTCTTATCTGCTAGCTCTGTTCTAATTATTAACCCATTTCTATTAATCTCCACGTGGTCTTATCTTACTGGAGAGAGAGGCCACTGGCGTTCTACACTCACCGTCTTCCATCTTGACGACTCCTTCCTCCTTCCTCTTTCCTCCTTGTCTCCTAGTCCCTCCTATCTTCCTTTCCTATAGGCCAACAGTGCTTTATTCATTAACCACTATGAGAAACATATTTACAAAATGACATCTCCGATCAGGTATATGCCTAAGAGGGGGATTGCCACGTCCTGTGGTAAACTAATTCCCATTTGCCTGAGGTACTGCCCTACTGATCTCCAAAATGGCTGTACAAGTTTGTACTCCCACCAGCAATGGAGGAGTGTTCCCCTTTCTCCACATCCTCTCCAGCATGAGTTGTCATTGGTGTTTCTAATTTTAGCCATTCTGACAGGAGTAAGATGGTATTTCAAAGTTGTTTTGATTTGCATTTCCCTGATAGCTAAGGCTGTTGAGCACTTTCTTAAGTGTCTTTCAACCTTTTTGATTTCCTCTATTGAGAATCCTTTCTTCAGTTCTGTACCCCATTTTTAATAATTTAATAATTTAATAATTATTTGGTGTTTTGTTGACTAGTTTCTTGAGTTCTTTGAATATTTTGGAGATCAGCCCTTTGTCAGATGTAGGATTGGTGAAATTTTTTCCCAGTCTGTGGGCTGCCGTTTGGTCTTATCCACTGTGTCCTTTGCCTCACAGAAGCTTCTAAGTTTGAGGAGGTCCCATTTATTAATTGTTGATCTCAGTGTCTGTGCTACTTGAGTTATGTTCAGGAAGTGGTCTCCTATACCAATTTGTTCAAGGGTACCTCCCACTTTCTCTTCTAAGAGGTTCAGTGTGGCTGGATTTATGTTGAGGTCTTTGATCCATTTGGACTTGAGTTTTGTGCATGGTGATAGACATGGGTCTA